CTCTGCTAAGATTTTACCCTACAACACTGTAAGGTCTCGTGCCCAGTCCACCAAAAGTGTGCTACTTTTCCAAACCAAATGACTCCCATACACCTACTGCTGCTTTCTCTTAGTAGCACTCTTGGGTTGTCTTCTTGGTCCTTCTTGCTTCACAATGACCCTGTGCCCTACATATGTACTTTTTCATTCATTGGATTTTCTTTTAAATCTACTGTGTGCTAAAAGGATTCCAAAGCCCTTTGGCACAGTTATAAGTAGGGAATTGACGCACATCAACATTGTTCAGGCCAGGAGGGCTCATCCTTCTTACCATAGAAATGGCTCTTCACCTTGATTCTGTATCTACTGAACTTCTGGTCTTCTTACTTGACCTTTCAGCTTTAATCATTATGTTTGTGTTTTTGTTTTCGTTTTGTTGTTCATGATGTTGTTTAATTTGTCCTTTAAAATAGATTGTGTGTTTTATAGACTGGAAAATAAAGTCTGGTGTAATTTACCCAAAATCATACATATAATTAAGTCTTAAAGGAAAATCTAAATCACTGACCTGTCTGATTATAAAGACTATATAAGTTCTTAAGTAAATAGATAACATATCCAGGGGACCATGATACACAGTGGACATTCATTTGAACATGCCCATAGGCTTCTGGGGAATTCAACTTTAGACACATTACGCTGTTTTTGTATTTACTCTTTCTTTAGCTGTCAGAAATTTAAGTGTGACTGCCAATAATAATATAAGACTCTTGGCACAAAGTCAGAGTCATGTTCTTCTTTATGTTTTAAATTTAAAATGAATTCAGTTTGCATCAAAGAAAAAACTTAGAAATATCATAGAGAAGTGTGAAACTATAGCATATTCAAGATGTGTAACTAAAGGCTAACTGAATTCATTTCTTCACACACACACTACATATAGACATCATCCATGCCTCAATCAAAGGTAAAGGAATGATACATACAGAAAATGATTCATCCATGTTTAAGTATTTGATTAACTTCAACATGGGCTCCAGATACAATTCATCAAACATCCAGTTTAGAAGTTTTATACAATTTCATTAACCCATTTATGAGTGTACCAACCTTACCAACACTGTTCTAATTCTCCTTTTGTGCTTTCTGTGTATTTCAATTTTTCTGCCATAATCTACATGTACATCGAAAGTATGTACTACCTAAATCTCATTTCTCAAAGATACGCAAGATTCTTCCTCGTGCCTCTTGATATCCTCTGGTAACTTCACTGAAGTGGTTTTGGCATGACTTAGTGTGTAAAACATAGCAGAAATATTGATCTGAGTCAGAGAAAACATATAAGATGGGCGGGCTTTTATTTACATTGATGATGTAATGAGCTTTTGAATGGACATACATCATCACTGAGATATCAGCCACCTATAATTTTAACCATCTCCCTGGGAGAGAATCTGCAAAGTATAAATGGAAATGAAAAGAGAAGTTAAGTTGGGAATGAATCTGGAGAGTTCAGTAGCCACTGTGAAGTGCAGGTGATATAGAAGGCCATTTCTTCAGGAGGGGGAGCTCTCCTTGCTCACTCCTGCCCTCAGGAACATTATTTGTCTTGATAGTTAACCAATAGTTACTGGGAAGTAAATGACTTCATTATAGTGTGGCCCCAGATGACCTTCAGTTCCATGATTTTCTGTAGATTCCAACAAAAACTAAGTGGTCACCAAAGTAACTGTTGCCAAGGAAACTGGTTCACAGTCTACATCCTACCAGTTTTCTATATAAAATGATAATAACTTAAATGAAAGGGGAAATATTGCCTTACTCAAACAACGATAGCTAAAATTAGCCAAGCCACCCACCATCCATTCAAACCACAACTGACAGGCATTTGTTACAGTCAGACACAGTAATTGTTTTTCCTTTTCCTTCAGTGTACTGTCTGACAGGCTGCATCTGATGGTATCCCTGAGGATGCAGTTTGCCTGTGTCTCGCAGCTGTGGTTAAAGTGACACAGAAGGCTTAGCAGACCTTCTATTTCAGCTAAGACTGAAAGAAAATAGTAATCTCACCAATTAGTAGCTAATGCAAGAGCTGAATTACTGTGGCTTTTAAAAACAGTAAATGATTTGCCTGCCTGTGGGTCTGCTCTGTACGATACTAAAAGCATACAAATGCTCCATGGACAGTTTAGTAGCTAGAGATTGATGGGCAGTGTTTTTCCCATTTCTAGCACATAATTTTTTTTGTGTTGTCTAGTTTATTTCTCAATGAAATGAGAATGTTACCGATGAGCTGTCAAGATGGCTAGCACAAAATAGGCCTAATATAAATATCCATTAATTGAATTAGTTAATAACTCCTCACAATTACTGAATGCATACTGGGAGTATTTTCCTGCTGTTTTGACATGGAGGTAATCTAAAGTCAGAATGTAACAAAGGTGAGAATCAAAGCCTGGGTTTCTTTTGTATGTATTCTCTCCTGGTGATATAGAAATTAATAAAATTAAAATCACACTTTTTTAAAAGTGAGATAGCAGCATGAAAGCACATGAGTTTATTCTAGAAACACTCTTATTTACATATCCATCCCCCCATTCCCTTGCCCTCCCATCCTCCCATGCTTCCCACTGACCCCCAACCCACCCTCCAACTACTCCCAAGGGACAGTGAGACCCTCCACTGGGGATCATCAAAGTCCATCACATCATTTGGGAGAGAGCCCAGGCCCTCCTTTCTGTATGTGGGCTGCGATAGTATCCCTCCATAGGGAATGGGCTCCCAAAGTCAATTTGTGACCTAGGAATAAACCCTGGCTCCACTGTGAGAGGTTCCATATACTGCCCAGACCTCCTCGCTGGCACCCACATTCAGAGGACTTGCTTTGGACCAGTGCTTTACTAGGGTCTGCTTACTATCAACTGTTCCTGCGGGTATATCCAGTTCCATCTTGGTTTATTTGCTAATCTGTCCTTGCTCTCTGCAACTGGATTCCGGGAGTATGACTCAGTGTTTAGCTGTGGATGCCTGTTTCTGATTCCACAAGCTACTGGGTCAAGGCTCTAGGGATGGTAACCAAGGTAGTCATCAATCTCATTATAGGGGAAGGGCATCAAAGGTAGCCTAGATTCTTAGTTGAGGTCATCCCTGTGGATCCCCTACCGTTTCCTCTGTGCCAGACCTCTCTCCAAACCTGTACTTTATCGAGGCATCTCCTTTCTTGCCCTCCTCTATTCCTCCCCTGTCTCAGTCCTGCTTTCCTCCCTCCCCTTCTCACCCTCTCCCCTCTCCATCTCCCTCCTCTCCTCCTTTCCCTGTCCTCCTAATTTGCTCAGAGGATCTTGTCTCCCTCCCCTTCTTCGGGAGACCATGCGTTCTTCTCTTGGGGTCCTCCTTTTTTCCTAGCTCCTCTGGTGGTGTGGATTGTAGGCTGGTAATCCTTTGCTCTATGTCTAATATCCACATATGAGTGAATATATACCATGTTTGTCTATTTGTGGCTGGGTTACCTAGTTCAGGATGGTCTCTTCTAGTTCCATCCATTTTTCTGTGAACTTCAGGATCCCATTTTTTTCCACTGAGAAGTACTCAATTGTGTAAATGTACCACATTTTCCCTATCCATTCTTTAGTTGAAGGGCATCTAGGTTGCCAACTAAAGGCCATCTAGGTTGCTTCCAGGTTCTGGCTATTACAAACAACGTTGCTATGAACAGAGTTGAACATATGTCCTTGTTTGGGTATATGCCCAGGATGGAATTGCTGGATCTTGAGGTAAACTGATTCCCCTTTTTTCTGAGAAACTGACATACTGATTTCCAAAGTGGTCATAAAAGTTTGCATTCCCACGAGCAATGAAGGAATGTTCCTCTTTCTCCACATCCTCTCCAGAATAGACTGTCATTGGTGTTTTTTATTTTAGCCATTCTGGCCAGTGTAAGATGGTATCTCAGAGTTGTTTTGAGTTGCATTTCCCTGATGGCTAAGGATATTAAGTACTTTCTTAAGTGTCTTTCAGTCATTTTAGATTCCTCTGATGAGAATTCTCTATTTAGTTCTTTTTAATTGATTGTTTGGTGTTTTGGTGTCTAGCTTCTTGAGTTCGTTATATATTTTGGAAATCGGCCCTCTATCAGATGTGGGTTTGGTGAAGATCCTTTCCCATTCTGTAGGCTGCTGTTTTGTCTTGCTGACTGGGTCCTTTGCTTATAGAAACTTCTCAGTTTCAGGAGGTCCCATTTACTGATTGTGGACCTCAGTGTCTGTGCTACTGGTGTTATGTTCAGGAAGCTGTCTCCTGTACCAATTCATTCAAGGTTATCTCCCATTTTCTCTTCTAAGAGGTTCGATGTGGATGGATTTATGTTGAGGCTTTTGATCCATTTGGATTTAAACTTTGTGCATGGTGATAGATATGGATCTATCTGCAATCTTCTACATGTCCACATCCAGTTATGCCAGCACCATTTGTTGAAGATGCTTTCTTTTGTTCATTGTATAATTTTAGCTTCTTTGTCAAAAATCAGGTGTTCATAGGTGAAAATCACACCTTTCTATAACAATATGAAGGACTACAAAGTAGAAAGGATCAACACAACAATCAATTCATCTGACCAACCCTTGGCTCTATTGTATATGCATGTAACCTTGAACAGTTTTTTCTTCTTTGCACATCTGATCCTTAGTTTCTTATCTTACAATTAATCATAGCTGTCCAGTAACAAAGAGATGATTAAGCTAGATAGATAAGCTGTAATGTAATCATCACAGAACCTGGCATATAGTAAATCCTGATATAAAATATAGCCTGGTACATAATATTGGCTATTAGTTCACATACCTGGACCTCTCACTAACAATTTGCTTAGTTATTAGTAGAATAATATGTTTCTTCTTGGATCAAGAGAATTGTGATTATGTGGACAAGGAAGGAAATCTGCATTAACCTATGTACTGTTGAAGAACCAAAATGTTTAATGAACTAAGTTTGATGAGGTTTCTGTTAATTACATTAATTTACAGGGTTTCAAGGACATTTCTCTTGAGAGATTTATACACGGCGGAGCAAATGTCACTGGATTCCAATTGGTAGATTTTAATACGCCTATGGTAACCAAACTAATGGATCGATGGAAGAAACTAGATCAGAGAGAATATCCAGGATCTGAAACGCCTCCAAAGGTATCTGCTTCTTTTAGTATATTGTGTACTGTTGTCTTTTTAAATCCTTATATCATTTTATTTTGTGTATGTGAATGTTTGTGCACCATGGGTATGCCTGGTACCCTCAGAAGACAGAATAAGGAGTCAGATCCCCAGAACTAGTTGTAAGCCAATTTTAAGTCACTAGGAGCATAACCTGGGTCCCATGCAAAAGCAGCAAGTGTTCTTAATAGCCAAGCCTATGTTAATACTTTTTATTCTGTGATTCTTTTTATTATTCTTTCAGACACATTGTGGCATCTTCTCACTCTCTTTGTATGACCAAAGCACTGAGAAATTTATAAAAGGTGGGGTCTGTGTAGCTGGTACAGTGGATAAAGGACTGACTATGCATGCATGAGCATCCAAGGTCAGAGCCCCAGTATAAACTAGTGAAGCAGTGAACTCCTGTAATCCCAAATCTGGAAGGTGGAGGCAGACAGTCCCCAGAAGCTCACTGGCAGCCATGAGTTCTAGGGTCCAGTGAAAAGACTTTGTCCTAAACAAGGCTGAAAGCAGCAGAATAGACTTCTAGCCTCCATGTGAACAAACCTACAGATGCACATGGCCATGCACATTCATCCATGAGTCATATACACACAAGCATTTACACGCACCACAAAATAAAATATTTTTCAAATGTCTGCATTTAATAACAGAGCAGTCAGATTAACCCAGAAATATGTTTTTATTGTCTTCTGTGTAAACTCCTGGAAGTTTTGCATTAAAAAGTTTTATTATTGACTGATGATCAAAGGGATTAAGACTGGGCTGGTTGAACCCCCAGTAACAGCTGACCAGACAAAGGTTAACTCTTGAATCCCAGACATCAGCCTGGGAATCCAGCATGGGACTGATCAAGACCCCCTGAATCTGGGTATCAGTGAGGAGGCCTAGGTAATCTATTGAACCTTGGACAGCAGATCAGTACCCATCCCAAGTATACACACGGTCTCTGGACTCCCATAGAACAATGTGAGGTGCACTCTCATCCTGAACTCTTGGGGAAGGGTCTAGGCCCTGCCCTATATGAAATGACAGACTATGGACACCCCTATGGAGGGCCTCACCCTCCCTGGGGGAATGAGGGGATAACGGGGGGGGGATGGGGGAGGGCACGGGAGGAGGGGAGGGAAAGGGAGAGGGACCTCGTACTGACTTGTGAAGCAACCTTGTTTCTTATCTAAATTTAAAATGGAAAATTAAAAAAAATATTAAAAAAAAAAGAATGAATGTACCCAGTCACAGGCTGAGTCCATTTGAATTTTATTAATGGCCAAACTTTTCCACAATGATTTACTGGATGCTAGACTTTTCCTTCCGGAACTAAAACATGAACTCCCTCATCTGGTGAAAATGTTGGCAATAAACAATTCTAAACTAAAAAAAAAAAAAGTTTTATTATTTAACATTTAAATGCAAATTACCTTTATTCATTTTTTTCTACCCAGATAGAAACCACATTTTTAAATGGTTTATAGTAAGTAGATAAATTCAAAAATTAGTAGAAATGAAAAACGTAAGTCTCACGTACAATCTCTCTTTCAATTTAAGAATAAAACACTGGGCTCGTTTTTTTTAATTATATACTTGCTTGTCTATGTATGGGTTTATATATGGTGAGTATACCGAAAAAGGCTGGAAGAAGGTTGCAGATCCTCTGAAGATGTGATTTCCAGCAGTGGCAAACAACTATATGGCTGCTGAGAACAAAATTCAGTCATCTGCAAGAGTAGCCAATGCTTTTCACTGCTGAACCATCTTTTCTGCTGTGTTGTGTGTGCTGTGTGTGTTATTATATGATATGTATAACATATATGCATGTTACATATGCACATACCATATAAGTGTATAGGTGTGCATACTAGATGAAGTTGTACATTATCAAGAAAGAAGTATGACATAGATTTAAGACAGACATTAAAGCAGAGAGAGAAACTCTTGGGAAAAATAGTAAACACCCAAGATGTATGTACCTGCTTTGCAAAAGAGATGGCTACCTTAAAAAAAAATGTGTGTGTGTGTGTGTGTGTGTGTGTGTGTGTGTGTGTGATTAGCATTTGCAGAGGACATTGCCACATTGCTGCTCATGGTATATTTTGTCTCATCTGAAAGGATGGATCTCAGATATCATCTCAATGATGGCTTGCTACTCTGACTCCAACTTAGTGGTTTTGACCACCATGTGATGAATCTTAATCTCTAATATTTCCTTAACTCTAATATTTCAGTAGAGTTCTAATATGTAATTTGAGACCAAGACATAGAAAAGCTAAGACCAATGAGTACAGTCAGCTATTCTGTTTCCTAGCTGTAAGGTTTGTTTTTCAGATTATCAATTTCCCCTATTCAAATTTGGAATTAGAAAGGTACCAAATAGAATCAAGAAATTTCAAAATTAAATATTTATTGCATGTCTGTTGTGTGTTAATCTTTCCTTTTGATATTTTAATGCAAGTGATATGTTAATTATACGGCAATTGACTGCCTGTGAGTAAAAGTTCAGGGGTCCATGGGACACAGAAGAATGATAATTTACTGCCCCCTTTTTGACAATCTCCAAATTGCCTTCTCTGTACTATTGTTTTGGGTTATTTATCATGTTTTAATGTGTGGGATGCTTTTGGAGTATATGTTTATAATAATTCTGGTTCATTAGCATCTATTTATATTGAAACCATTTTCACAGTAATATCATAAATACAGCTATATAGCACATTATAACAAAAATCACACCATATATGAAGTTTTTATGAATCTTAGCATGATTCTAGGTATCCAGAAGCCATTTAATACACATATACAGTCAATTGTTACCACCTGTGATTATGTTCTGAATAACATCCTCAAGTAGTGGGTGACCAAATATTGAGGCATTTTTCTTAGAAAAAACATAAGATTAGTTTCCAAGAGCCTCTAGTTATGACCTTCGGTCAAGTAGTCAATATATAATCTTGTTTTATTTGTTGTAGGTATGCTTTTTTAGCACTGATCTTATGATCAACAGCTCTTAGTCTATGCATGAAGAAAGTGTACTTAATACGTATATTTCTCAGAAATACCAGAACCTTCTCACATTACAACCATTATACAGCAATTAGTGCTATGTTGCAGGCTGTTTTAATCTGTAAAGTAACCTGAAAAAAAAACACAAATTTGAGGAAAACACTACCTACTTCACCATATAAAGTGCACTTGTTTACAACATGAGAGCAGAAGTGAAAAAATCTTTAGTGTTTCTTTATTTAACTAGAGCTGGAACTTTTCATATTGGATGAATCCAGTGTTTCGCTACTTTATATACACCCATAAGTGCCTGCGAAAGTTGAGTGTTGATTGGAGCTTCAAATAAATGTTAATGAGTAAGAAAGTTCAAAAACAGTCCATAAAAATTATAGTTATAACTGAATTGTATTTCAATTGGTCAGTGTTTTAAACAAGAGTCAACACATTGGTCAGTGTTTTAAACAAGAGTCAACACATGACCTCTGATCTCATCATTTTCTTCCACTAAAAGAAAAAATAATAATAATGATGATTTATAATAATAAAAACACTGGGAACGAATGTTCTTTGATTTGATGATCCCCTGCTACCTTTCTGATGTTCTGGTTAAACAGCACTGTTGTGCTCTTGTGTCTCTAAGTGTCCACCTCAACAGTCTTCCACTGTTGTCTGCACTATCCATCCACTCCAACTTTATCCCAGAGTTTACCCCAAGGTTCACCTTCTCAGGGATCTTTTTTTATTCTCTCCATGACGTTAGGACTCTGCAGTTCTCAGTAAGGACATACCATACTTAACGTTGACTCCTGTAAACACCTGTAGGGCCAAGACTATCCACTAACAACCTTCATAGTCTCATATTTCCCAGCTAGTGTCGACATGTGTTCTGCACCCAGTTCTTAGGTAGTACATGAAAAGTCATCCTGACAACTGTTTAAATACTTACTCTTTTAATGTTCTGTTTTGTGCTCTGTAAATTTTATCTTCCACATTCTATAAACCTATGAGTAACAGAACTCCAGTTTATTTTAGTTATTTCCTGTCAAAGTTCACCATCTATTGAACACTGATTCTGCCCGTGTCTGCCTTCAGGACCTAATAATGGCGAGAAGAATTCACTTCTCCATTCTGTTTGATGAGTAGGACAACAAATAACTCCAGGCTAAGGAGCAGTTTTAAAGCTGCCCAGAAATGAAATGTTTGTTTATATGCATTTTCTCCATGTCAACTGTAAGCGGGGTATCCATAAACATGCTTTCCTAGACAGTGACAAAGTAAGGCCCATGAGAAAGAGTTGGAGCTTTTGATAAGACCACGCAAGTCTAAACTCCAGCCTCTGCCAGCTTTCTGCCCTGTGAAACTCCAGGACTTTGCTTCTCCAGTTGACTGTCGCCTTTGCACTGTGTCCCACTGTGTGGCACAGCTCCCTTTCTCTACTTCACATTCCACGGAAAAGGATGGACATGTTCCGAGAAAGCAAGCGTGTTTTCTGGCTTTTGTTTTGTTTGGACCATCTCTTCTCAGCTTCTTTCTCATGACTGGAGAAAAGGGGGACAATGCTTTGCTTTACTTTGCTTTTGTTTGTTTTGTTTTGATCTCTTGATCCTGGCACACATGTAGTACACTCTGAGAAAAGGTCTTCATGTCTGCTTTTTATTTTCTTGCCTTAGAGAAAGATGACTTGGAAGCTTTTTCTCCTCAGAGACATGGTGAGTGGAGCAAAGAGAAGACACATTGGTTTTCATAGCGTCTGCTTCTTTTCCTCCAGCTCCTCCATGCTGAGAGGGCACAGGCCTTGTGTATGTCTGTTCTCTTAGCAGCTCTGTCATGCTACACGAATCTTATATATCCTGTTAATTCAAGCCTCATACTCAGTTCCTACACTGCTTAAACGTGCTTTCTTGGAACTCATGTAGTTTTACTTTTCTCTTCCTTCAAATGCTAGCTTTTCTGTGTAATGATAATATTGTCTTAGTTTAGCTTCTACTTTCAGAATTTCAAATTGTTTTTCTTTATTTGCAGGCAAAAAATCAAGTTCGTCTCTTGTTTAACATGGCACAGATCTCCCCCAGATACAGGTGTAAAAAGTGTTAATTATATGGAATTCCCGAAGGAGACAATGCAGTTATTTTCATACCTAGTAGTTGATGATGATGAATCTTCTCTGCTTAAACAATATTGTAGCAAGATAAATAAAATACCCATAGACTCATATTGGAGTTCAAGCTTCAAGTTGAAGATCAGAAAAGCAAAGCAGCCAGCCATTAGCTCTTACCTTTACCTCTGTTCAGACCAAAGGGGTGATCCTCAAACTGCTCCCAACTTCATTGCTCCTCAGATTCACTCAGACTGCTATGCTTCTCCACAACGTGGCTAGAGACTAACTCCCAGACTCAATGCCTCTACCTTTTATACGTCTCAAATCCTCCAATTAAAAAACGTGAGCTCTGATTCACTCTCTTGTAGTCCAGGGTAGTCTTGGACTCAGAGATCTGTGGACCTCTTTATTAATCCTGAATCCTGGGATTAAAGGTGTATGTGCCTGGCTTCTGTGGCTAACTAGTATGGCTGCTTTGCTATTTTGATCTCCAGTGGCTTTAATGAATCATAAGCAATATATTACCACAGAATATGTCCTATCACCCAGATGTTCAGTAATTCTCTAATCAAACACTACCAAATTTACCCCCAGATCACATTTTCCTCTTGGTCTTTCCTAACTGCATTACACTAATAATCTTGTCCTGGGGGCTCATTCTTTTCCCAAGGAGAAACATGGATGGTCATTAGAAAGATGCTTTCTACTTGGTATTTCTACACTGATACTAGGATGCGGAGTTCAAAACTTAAAGCAATGGTACATTCTCTTGAGCACACTCATTGGATGACAGGTACATACACTATTGAGGTTGAACAAAATAGATGCTATTCTTAGCATTACATTTCTAAATAACAACAAACAATTCCTTTGGGAGACTAAACAGAAATACTTCAAGTTGAATGCAAAGTGAGTCTCAGATAATACTGCTAGGCGTCGGTGGAGAAGCAAAGTACAAGACAGCCCAGCCCTCCTGGGCCTAAGGAACTGCAATGGAGGATATAACAACACTGTGTAGTATCCATCCTTCAACTGTTCATAATGAAACACAATCTAAAATCTCTACCGGAACATTTCTTCTTCCAGATGATGGAAATTTATGCTTTACGGTCTCTTCTTTCAGAGTGGGTTTTCTCCTTTAAAACTAAGAACAATAATATGTGGCATACAGTCTTTGTGTTCAAGCAAGAGCAGATACTCCCAAAGCCATCACCAATAAATTATCAGTACCATGCTGTCATAAACCAACAGAAACCCATGCTATTCATTGTGCTAAACTTAACATTTGCCCTTATTCACACTTTAACATGCTCAGTACACCTCTGCTCTGACTTACGATGGAGTTCTGGTGATGGCTGAAACTTTCCGAAGTCTCAGAAGACAGAAAATTGATATTTCGAGGAGAGGAAATGCTGGGGATTGTCTGGCAAACCCTGCTGCTCCCTGGGGCCAGGGAATTGACATGGAGAGAACCCTGAAACAGGTAACTCATACTTTTGCTTTATTGTATGAGCTTTTATAAATACAGCATGGGTTTTTTTGTTTTGTTTTGTTTCGTTTTTTGAGACAGGCTTTGTCTGTATTTTCCTGAAACTCACTCTGTAGACCAGGCTGACCTCAAACTCACAAAGATCTGCCTGCCTCTGCCTCCTGAGTGCTGGGATTAAAGGCGTATGCCACTAACACCTGGCTCAGTATGTTTTTTTTTTTAAGATAACTCATCTGAGCATTAACATCTATTGCAATTTTCATGTTAATACATCAAGCCTTCTACAATATCAAAACATTTTAGGTAGAACCTCAATGTTTATTCCTTATATGGTTGTGTAGTGGAGATAACACCACAACTCCAACAAGGTCTAGAAGCATGATGGGGTGCAGTGGAGACATATTTTGGTTAGCAAGGACCCTGTGCTCCATAAAGTGGCTCAAGGACCCAGCCTGGCAGAGCAGCTACCGTTTTGAATCAATAGGCTGTTGTTTTAAGGAACTGCTGAAATACCAATTAAATGCTTTGTTTCAACAATGGCATTCACATCTGCTTCCCACTAGCTCCTACACCACTAGCCATAGGATGTCAAGGACATATAAAACTGTGTCATAAAAGAAGAAGACGTGTTTGTAAGATCTAAGTACTGCTTCAAGGCATCTTTAACTTTGGATTAAAATATTTGCTATATTATTTTATACCCACACAAACAATATATTTCAAATAATAAGTGTTAAAGATATTATATGTAAAAATTAACTTATCTGAAATACAATAAGTTCAAACCATAAGTTAAATGAATGTGAATCAAAAAAGACAACTTGGAAGCCAATGTGCTTGGATATTTTCAAATATTGTATTTTTAGTTTTATATATACTATAAGGAAATACTATATATCATATATACTATAGTATATATATATACAAATATATATATACTATATATTGTAATGATATAGAAAAAAAGCTGTAGACTGCCTCTAAGCAAATACAATTCTGTTCTATAAAGAATATTTAACTATTGGGAAAGAATTATGTTAGTTAAAATGAAAACGTTATAATACAAAAAGTTCATCTTCTTGGTATAGAGCAAAATACGTTTTAATATCCTTTCATATTCCTCCACCAGGTTCCTTCTCAGTAGCTCAAGCATCCAGTAACATTCCAGAGAATTGATTTTAGCTTTTAATCCAACAGCCTTCTACAGTCCTTAGCCTAGTGGTAGGAGGTTTCTTTAAGTGAAGCTGAAAATGAATATGTGTGTTATCTTTTTCCTTCACAGGTTCGAATTCAAGGGCTGACTGGGAATGTTCAATTTGACCACTATGGACGTAGAGTTAATTATACAATGGATGTATTTGAACTAAAAAGCACAGGACCTCGAAAGGTGAGCTACAACTTAACTGACAAATAACAATTGTTTTCTTATTTTGCATGTGACACTCTTAAAGGCTTATAGGAGAAAAAAAAGGTTGATGTTCTAAATTTCTATTTTTAAGTGATGCTCTCAACTGGTACTTTCTTGATGGTCTATGTTAAGATAAGCACTTGTGTCATGCATTATTAATGATGTCATAAAATGTAATCACTAACTTGGTGCTGTGCTTTGTAACTCACAAGGAGAGCAGTGTGGCAAGGGGAGCTTGGCAAACACATTTTGGAAACAAAATTGACTGCACAGAAAAGAACATGACACAATAATAATGCCCATGTATGGTCTGTGACTCTTTAGAGTGCAGAGAGGCCCTGCTAAGAAGTGTGTGTGCTTCAAATTCACTGTTGGTTCTGGAAGTGGCCAAGCCAAGTCAAACAAATAAAGGAAAGCAAATGGAAGATACTTACTGGCCAAAGGAAGGAGAGAAACACCTGAGTCCAAGAAAGGGTCTTACACTTCGAAAACATCTTAGCATCATTTCTGTGACTAAGAAAAGAATACCTTGAAAAAGGAAACAAAGGGAAAAGGGTTTAGTTTGCTTACAATTACAGGTTACAGTTCATCATTGACCACAAGTACAGGAAGGAACTTGTAGTAGGTCACATGACATTCACAGTCAAGAGAGACAACTATATGCGTGTTGCTTGTGTGAATGCTTGAGCTCAGCTCAGCTTCCCCACTCTCACAGTTTAGAAACCTTTGTTATGAAATAGTGCTGCCTCAGTGGGCTGAGTCTTCTCATATCAAATAAGGCAATCTTTTTTTTTTATTTTAAATAGCTTGTTTTACATGTCAATCCCAGTTCCCTCTCCCTCCCCTCCTCCCGCACTCCCCTTCTCCCCCACCCTCCCACTCTATTGCCAAATCCTTCCACATAGGGGATATCTCAGCCGTTAAAGGCTAGGCTCACAACCAAAAATATAAGACAATCTTCATCTAGAGCATCACTCATTGAGAGCCTGGCCCTGGTGGTTCTGGTTGTATCAAGCTGACAATTAAAGCTGAACATCACAGCAAGGCAGCTTTCTAGCTCTCAGACATGAGCACTCACATCATCTGTCTTCCAGCATGCCCAAAGCAGTCTACATCAGAGTTGCCTAAACCTTTCTTCTTAAGACTGCTTTTTCTACCTGAGACATTTTTGTGGGAAGCCATGTATATAAGGTAGTCAAACAAATTGAATATTTATCAGTTAAAACTCATAATGAAATTTATATTTAAAATTCTTTAGTATAGCTATAATTTTATCATTTGTGCATACTAATAAGATAGACGGACATGCTTGACTATTTTTACATGAAAAATTAAATCTAGTCTGAAAAAGATAGTCTTTTTCCTCACATTGATCACTGTTTTTAATTCTGTACACATCAATGGTGAGAACACTGTTTCACATAAATATATAGTATAAAGTGTCAGCAGTATGTTTCAAGACATTTCTGTTTGAAAACATTTTGGAAATTCCTGGGCATCCTGTCCTAATCCTGTCCTAATCTCAAGCTAAAAGCCAGCAGATCAAGCAGAAACTTTAAAAATCAAATATTGCGTTAGTTGGGAGTGGTAGAACATGCCTGGGAAAAAAACTATCTGGAGTTATGGGTCATCCTCAACTATGTAACAAGCTTCAGGAGAAGTCTAAGCCCTATATCAAAACATAAGTAAGTAAATAAATCATTCCAACACCTTGATATCTAGAAGTTATGGAATGATAGGAGAAAATATTAGGTATTTGTTTTCTGTAATTAAGCCAGTATATTTCTGTAAGATCAAATATCTTTATATGTACAGTAAAAGCATTTCAGTGATAGTATATGGAAGTCTCAAGTCTGAGCAAAGGTTCTTCAGATGGAATGCATTGGTGTCATGTGCCATTACAGCTTGTGGTACAAAGTGTTCATGTTGAATATCCAGAAATTAAGACTACAGTGAAATTACATGATGTAACATAACTGGTGCTTCCAGAGAAACCCTGATTCACTACAGACTTGACTTTGAATTAAGATGTGATCACTGAAGGATCAGTAACTTTTTATTGGTGCCGTTTTTTTTTGTTGTTGTTGTTTTTTTTTTTTTGCAACTCCCATATTCACTTACACTAATAAGCCACTGCTTAAGAAGCTGAGTTTAGGGAAGGGAGAGGGATCTGGGATGGACATGTCAAGCAAGCTTGTTTCTAAGTTAAATAGAAAAAATTTAACAACAAAAAAAAAAAGAAGCTGAGTTTAGCCAGGCATGATGCATGCAGAGTCAAGTGGATGTCTACAAGTGAGAGGCTAGCCTGTCTACAGAGTGAGGTCCAAGGCAGGCCTATGTATTGAGACGCTGTGTCCAAAAGAAAAGGAATGAAGGAGAAAAGGCAGAGGAGGAAAAGGAAGAGATACCCTCTGGGCTGGGCTCTATGCGATTGAGCCATATACTCTTACAACAGTAGTTGGTTCTAAATATTTTATAGTGACTGATGCCTAGGATTCTTAACTTTCTCTTTCTCTGTAGGATTATCTAGGAAGTCAAGAAAAAGATGTCAAAGTTAGCTTCTAAAAACTGTTTTTCAACATTTGGCTGTTTGAGAAACAATTTATCTAATATAATAGCTACAATTTATGGAAGCCCTGCTATATTCCAAGCACCCAGACATAATGCTTTATATAAAAACAGTCTTCATAATCAGTGTACAACTGGGACTTTACTATGTTTCTTCCTCCTAAATAAGAAAAATATGCCCTAATAAGTTAGGTATCCTGTAAAAAAAATATTCAAATATATGTGATCCTAGAACCTTTTAACACCATGCTTTGCCTGAACAAACCCTGATGGAAGAATTTCATTTTAAGAAATCTAGGATATACAGTTCATTTGTTAGTTAAAGAAAAGGCATGTGGTGTTGTAAAAGGAAAGGACCACTCAGTGATGGAGGAAATTATCACCAGGGTAGGCTGCAAGGTGGACATGAGGATTAAAGTTAGCTGCAGAGACAGAAGTTAGATAGGTAGACTTTGCAGGGGCAACAATGGCGGGAACGACTTGGCAACAGAGCGGTCGAGGGCATGCCGAGAAATGGCAACGGCTTTCCAACGCTTTGCTCTCGGCTATCACATGCTGTGCAAGGGACAAATGCGGTGCTGCTACGGAATGCAGCTCCAGCCTATTGGCTCCATGGTGGCATCTCCTTGACTGTAGTCTGCCAGCTGATACACAGGAAACTTGAGGCTAATGGGTTGAAGTCACGGAGCAAAGGAACTGGACGACATCTCATGAGCCACGCTAGCAGACTCCTTGAATAAAGAGGACACACTTTCCTAGAGGAGATTCTGGGACTCCCTTCTCCTGGCGTATTGCCCAGCTCTGTGTGAGCTATGGAGTTGACAGAGTGTTCCATAGACAACTGAAATTGTTAATTCCTGGGTGCAGAGGGGAGAGCAGCCACCTTCCTTTCATGCAACAAAGCTCGCAGAGCTGGTCGGCTAAGCAGAAACTTTTTAAAATACAAAAGATAATCTTCTATATCACAGCACAGTAACTACACTGTGTACATGACTCTTAGTAAAATTGAAAGAATAGGAATAGGAAATAGGGGTTAGCCCGAGTAACACCTTGTGGGCTATTCATGCTACTGAGTCTTTTCGTGGCCTGCCAATCATAGTGGTAACAAGAACTAAGGTTTCTCAAAGAGGAATTTAAGGAATTAGGAGAGTAATGCACAGATGGCTTCACACCCAGTTGACATCCAGCCAAGACTCTGAAGAGAAAAATGAGTGCGAAGTGGTCCAGACTTATCTGTCTTCGTTTTCCCAGTAGTCTGATCAGCAAGGCGGTGTGTCAGGGATATTAAACTTTCACATGAGAAACGCTATGCTAGTGTGATGACGAGGTGTGTCTGAAAAGTGAGCAATCTTTCTAACCCTGAATTACTTACCAGTGAGGGAACCAGCTTTGAACATACATCAGAGAAGCAACCCATCAACTTGTCTGGCTTCTGTGGCAGGAAACCTGATTGGGCATCTCATTAAGTCAAAGCCCAAGGTTTGCTGGACGTGGTCGCTAGATAAACGGAATCTCCTTGCTTACCGCCCTCCCAGAGCTCCAGATGGTGTGGCTTAATGCCCCAGGGCTCCAGAGGGCACGGCTTACCCTGCCCAGGGCTCCAGAGAGTGTGTTCCAGGGGTTCAGGAAATATTAATGGTTAAATTTCAGTTACTGAGATTAGGTCGTATGCTGGATACTATCATGGAAAACCAATATTCTCTTCCATGTTTAATTCTCATGACAGCGTGAAAATAATGCATTCTTCTCAATGTACGGAGATCTAGGACAAAGAGAAATTAAGTATGTTGCTCAGGGAATGTCAGCTGAAAGAGGGGATGCTCGAGAGAAGAAAAAACTCCAGTGCCTCCAGAGCCATTCTCTTGGTTACTTTGAAGCCTCTGTCCCCAAGCTGTAAGATTCCTATTCAGATCTGGTGTGAAGATGAAGTTACACGTTTCAGGACAGGGCTGGTTGAAGCAGCTCTCCAAGCAACCAATTTTAGTAGAAATAGACTCCTGTGTGCCAAAACACCTAATCCCAACCTTACGCTGCAGGCATACACACAGGGCTTTACTTGTGCACTCTATTTTATCTGGTGCTGTATCTGGTTAAAGTTGTTATATTTAAGGAAATTTAGCTCTCCAGATTCCAATGATAAATATTTTTCTGACATTTATTTCAAGTTTGGTGATTCAAATATTTCCAGGTGTTTTGTGTATTAATATATAATCATTTTCAATCTCTAGGACAACAATTCCTAATTAGTTGTTTAACATATGAGATCAGACAAGGTAAACTATAGTTTAAAAATCATGTTGGAATGGAATAGAAAGAGAAACTCCCGCTCCAGCTCAAACTTCAGCACATTTTTTCTGAAATTATCTTTATAATTTATAATTTTCCAATACATTTATAATAACTTTTAAAAATAAATAAAATGTATATATTTGCTTATTTAAATAAATACCTCATGAAACCTACTGCAGACTGAATGCTAGCTTTATTTTTTATTAGAATTATATGTAAATATTAAGCAAAAAATTGAACTTTAATTTATTATCTTAATTTCCAGCACTTCTGAATCATTTATCCTCCTGGGAGGGATCATTTATGCATTATTTCAGAAACTCACCAATAACTGTGTCTGTTCCAAAACGGGCCCCAGATCCATGGGTGTTTCCCAAATGGGATTCATTAATAAAGAAAAATCTCTTCTTGCTTGAAAATGGGCTGCACTGATCTTCACGTTTGGCTGTATGTTAATGGAATGCCAAGTTGTAAAACCCTCTATGAGCATACAAACCTGTTCTGTGGGAAAAAGAGTTACAAGAAGTCACTGAGATTTGTTTTAATTATGTAAGGAATTTTAAAAAAAGGTGGTTTCAAAATTATTTTTAAGTGAAAAATGTTTCACAGAAATGCTACATGTCCTCTAGAAGTGGATATACATTTGCAAGTAACTATGACATTTATATGTACTATAATTTGTAATTGAAATCCTTTTGTTTTACCTATTCTTTTTGAGTTATGTCTGTACCACTTTGAATAACCTTCTCTCTTTGACACTATTAATGCTTTGCTTAAATATGTTCTGACATACTAATATGGGAGTTAAAACACTTGCAGAGTAAGAGAGTTTTCTAGACCACAGTGGGCCAGTCACTGATTGCAGACCTGTGGGGCAAGTATACACATTTTTATAGGAGACCTGAGGTTTATGAGCATCATTAAGAAATAAAGCCTAGCAAACTTTATGTGAGCACTCACTTTTGGAAGCCATGCAGCACCAAATGTCAGGATTTGGTATCATACAGGCTTCAGTTTTAAATTCTCACCCTACTAGATTGTAATCTTGGACCATTTGTTTAGACTCCACAGGGTTCTTCATATCAAAAGCAGAGACAATAATATCAACAAACTGAATATAGTATGCATAGTAACTTTAGGCCGCATAAAATAAAGATATATCCAAGAGCAGCATTCTCTGTGTAGTAGTCATCATTAACTCCAATGGTAGAAGGTAATGCATGCATACTTCATCTTAAGGAACTAACTGCTTGATTTATTTTATGTTGAAGTATGTCACATATACTGTGAACTGTGTCTTCATTAGAGTTTCTATTGCTGAGACAAAACATCATGACCAAAAGCAAGTTGGAGAAGAAAGAGTTCATTTGACTATACTTCAGCACTGCTGTTCATCATTGAAGGAAGTCAGGACAGGGTACTGCTTACTGGCTTGATAACCCTGGTTTGCTCAGCCTGCTTTCTTATAGAACGCAAACCCAACAGCCCAGGGATAGCACCTCCCACCATAGACTGGGCCCTCCCCCATTGATCACTAATTGAGAAAATGCCTAGTAGATGGATCTCATTTTCTCAGCTGAGGCTCCTTTCTCTCTATTGACTCTAATTTGTGTCGAATTGACACACAAAAGCAGCCAGTACAAACCGATAGCGTGTGAATGTGTGTGATGTGTGCAAACTAATGAATGGAGGTGTGAGCCAGAGAAAGACCTCAGGAATTCTGCTCCATCACTCTACACCTTATTCCCTTGAGACATGGTCTTCCTCTAAACCTGGAGCTAGATTCATAGCTAACAAGCCCCAGTGAGCCTCCTGTCTCCACCTATTCACAGGTAGGGTACAGTCACATGTCCAGTGGTGCAATGCATTTTGCATGGGTTCTCAGTCTCTGAATTTAGGTTCTCACACTTGCTTACCTAGCAGTCATGGCCCACTAAGCCATTTCCCGAGCCCCAAATAATAAGATGGTTAAAGTCAATGCACAAATTGCAATGTAAGACTTAAAAAATGAAAATACTGCACATTAATATCCATGTTGCTGAGGTTAACATTTCAGAAAACGAATTCTCATGTTGTAGTTATATAATATAAAGCCAAACATATTTCTAGATTGTCAGTAAATTTCTTTTTCATAAGATGTGACTGTTCACTTTAGTGTATGTTCTGTAGTTTTCTAGATGAAATTGTATTAACTAATACTAGGCAGTGCTGGCCCATCTCACTAGATGAGAAGATCAGTATGTCCAAGGTTCTATCTGTGTCTCTTCCATTCAGAACCACAGCTTCCCTTGACTACTTCATGACTCTGGATTTGCTAAACATATAATAAGGCAGTATCTTTAACACTGAGAAAACTGTCTCAACAGTTTTACCTTAGGCATCCACAATGCCACCATTACACCATCTGCTGCCAGGAGCACTTCTATGGTGTGTTTTCAATTCCCTTCTCTATCCGGCAGGTGGGCTACTGGAATGACATGGATAAATTAGTGTTGATTCAAGACGTGCCTACTCTCGGCAATGACACTGCAGCTATCGAGAACAGAACAGTGGTTGTAACCACTATTATGGTGAGTTTTGGTGTATGCTTTATAGTGTTCCGTCTTGCCCACAGGCAAATTTAACTCCCTGGCTGTGATGAGGGGATACAAACTGAATATTAGTGCTGACTTGAGTGCTCTGACCCACCCAAGTCTCCTGAGGCTTTGAATAGTTCTGTCCCAAGCTTGGACAGACTCACCTCTTTCATTGTCCTTATTTGTGTCACTTTTCATTACAATGTTTTTCTTGGGGAAAAAAATGACTCAGATGTTAAAAATTGAGACTGTGAAACTGAAGTTGGAAATGTTTGAAATTCTAAGACCCCCAACACTGAACAATGAATTTGAGGAAGCCAAGCTCCAATTGAATCCCAAAACCATCCAATGGAAATACCATATTCTCTGTGTTTTCAAAATCATCAATGAAATAATCATTAATGGTGTTTAATTGATTGTCTTAGGTCATTATGAGATATTTATCTGTCTTGTCTGTTTCTAATCACAAAAATGTGAATGTGGAGATTTTAATGGTTACTTTTTAAAATATATCACCAAATGCTTGATAAATTGATTTTGTTTGATATCTGTTTTTAATGTAAAAAGACATTTCCGCCCATTGATTATTTTTCTCATTGACATATATAATTGAATGAGCTTCTAGAAATCAAGAAAAACATGATATTTCATTTGACCATATGATAAAATTTAAAATGTTCTAAATTTTAAGGCTCCTGCTTCAAGGAATTTTCCTGTACTTGCCTTTTAAATTATAGAATATTCTAAACAAATTTTGTCTTCTAAAGGCAAGCACAACCTTTACAGTTGGTGGTAGTCAAAGGAGATTAGCAATTAGTGATTGTTTATACCTTACTTAAGATCAAATGTTCTCAGTTAACTCTCAGTAGGAAAAATATATTATCATTTAAACCCTCTAAATAAAATGGAAGTTTTTGTGTAAATTAACTGTTAGCTTACATAATTTCAATTTTTAGTTTTAGGGTTTTAGTAAATATTTAGTAAATATTTCTAAAATTGACACTGAAATCAAAACATGAAAATATCAAAAAAGAAGCATTCGCCTATTGCAATCAGTTATGCCTGTTTTGGATAACCAGTTAGCGATTTAACATAGTCTGACAAGCCTTGATTGGGAGTTGATTACTTTAGAATGCAAACCCACCAAAAGCAGTGTTTGTATAAACTTTCTGACTTAATTATGTAATATTTGCATGGTACTTGAAAAGCAGGATATATATATATATGCATATATATTTCTTTTCCTTAAAAAAAGACACAGTAATGGAAATTCATACTTCAGTACAGTCCTCCTCTTTTCAGCCTCTGATGAAGAACCCTATTTTAAGAAATTGACCAAGAAAGACAAGAGTTCCACGCTGTTCGACCATTCCTAACTAAGGCTCGAGTCTTGTTCTCCTGAGTAGTAAATTTAAGCTCATTTTTCATGTGGAATTCTTCTTGGATAACCAACTCTGGACTACCAGAAAACAATTTTTAAATATATATGTGTGTGTGTGTATGTGAGTGTGACTTTGTGAGTTATTAGAACAAAAGAAGAATTAATCTTCATCCGTTTTCATTCTCAAGAAAATAGATGTGAAAAAGAATAAACTAGTGATTCTGATATGCCCATTCCCATGTCATAAAATGAAGTCATTGTACAAGATCAGTTCTCTAAGGGTAGATTTCGTCAAAGTAAACCTGAAATTATGTGCTCATTTTCTGAATAGACATACAATTGTTTGCTTTAGAATCTTTTGGAATGTTTCCTGTTCTGTGAAATGAATGTATGATGTATATTAAGAGTGTAATGTGTAGTCTCCTTTTGAAAGGTGGTACTTATAATTACTATTGCCAAGTTACAGAATTGGTTTCCCAAGCATGGCTAGTCTTCAGGAAGCATGACATCAAAAACTAAGTTAAAAAAGTGATGAAAAGATGTTGTTTCATATATATATATACATGCTTGATAGTGATGATAACAATATTTTTGTTATCAAAATAGTGTATATAAAGTAGTATCTGTTTTTCAAGTAACTGTCATCTTTATTTAAATCATTCCCTTGGTATTTTCAACTGCATAACTGTTCCTTAATGCCAAAACAAAATGGAAAACTCTGGTGCATCCTCACTTAAAGTGTTGATTGAACTTGATTTTATTGAAAGCATTAGCTTAGGATCTAGGATGATCCCCTTGCTTCAATTACTTGGGAAGAAGATTGGTTACCTTTAGCTGATAAGATACTGACAGCTGCATGTAATAATCCCTGCATAATCAACTGAAAAAACTCAACAAGGTTGGAGTAGGTAGAGGTTGCAATGAGTCTGATACAGAGACCTAGATACTGAGCAAGCTAAGAGTGAGCTCTGGAGAACATTTAGCTTCTTGTCTGAATGGGTGCCATGTTGCCAAATTCACTTCATCTTCCCTGTGTATGCTGTGTTTATATGCTGATATATGCTGTGATATATGTTATTGTTAAATAAAATTGATTGAGAAATTCAGCTTTTCAGAAATACTTTCTGATCGTCTGTTACGTACCAGGCACAGGGTTAGATCTTGGAATATGTCAGAGGTGACGCCTACACTCAAGGGAATTTATATTACAGAAAAAAATAAGAAACTTAATTCATGACTATTACATCTCTTAATCAAAATAAAATGTGCTACTATTATGTTTATGCTGTTGAAATTTATTTTTCCCTGCAAGTATTGTACGTCTACAATAAATCTTCATTTTCAAGATGAATTTACTCTACTTAAACACAACTATGTCAAATGTATTGACTATGATAAAGCTAATCTAAATAAGAAACAATTTGTAATTACACAAACTTTTATCTTTAATTCTTACTGACTAAAAATTAAGTAAAACCATAATAGTTATCAGACTGGGAACACAGAGATTCCATTTTCAGCAGACAAATAACAACTGCAAACAAACTCAGGAAGCCAAATCTAAACCATTCAAATAGGAGAAGTATAGTTGTTGTGGTAAATTCAGCTTCTGCAGACTCGGGAAGAGGGGGGAGTACTTTTCCTTTTATCACAACACCTTCTTTCCTCATGAAGTCTCCAGGAAATAAGTACATTTGAGGCAGAACATGCTTTACTATTCAGTGCCTTACACTATGAGTTCGTAATGCTATGTTAGTATGAGTTAGTATTGTATGTTACTTAGGTAAGGTGATACTATCGTATGAATACACAGTTATCTAAGAAATATGTCCATAAAGTCAAATTTATTCACTGTATCATCAGAATTGTGTTTCAAACATGAACTCGTTTATGTAATTACTACATCTTCTTTATTTTGCTTTTTTATAACTTTAAAATACATTATGTAAAAATTTTAGATATGCTAACATCTGCTAAGAAGCCTACACATATCCATAATATATGTTTTTAAATATAAAATGTACAACAAAAATAGAAATGTATTCATTTTCTTTGCCATACCAAATATTAATTCCCCCTTCCTACAAAGAGTTTATAACAACAAAGTTTGTTTAAAAAAAAAGAAGTTCTAGCTTGAAATTATGATTTTTAAATTTGCTCATTTCTTTCTTATATTTTTCTTGGTTTTTGGTTTTTTCAAAACAGGATTTTTCTCTGTATTCCTGGCAGTCCTAGAACTTGCTCTGTAGACAAGACTGACTTCAAACTCACAGAGATCTAAGTGCCTCTGCCTCCAGAGTCCTAGGATTAAAGTTGTGCAACCATTGCTCAGAACTCATTTATTTCTAAACTGAATAAAAGCTTCATTGCTCACAGGACTAAATTATCAACCTCCTTTAAGATTCCTCGTAAAAAAGCAAGTGTCCACACAGGAAAAATGGAATAAAATTCTTTTTGTTTACAATGGTGAAGTTTACAAACTGGTAGTTTTTGTGCTGAGTATCTGTTTCAACACTTTTGATTTAATTAAATCCCAATAATACAAAACAATACTTCAGTGGGGGACATGTATTCTAGTGATCATATTTAGTTTAACTGATTTAAGGTTCAAAATCATTTTAATTCATTTATGGCAACCTTTTCACCATCAAGGCCCAATGTTGCAGCTTCAGACTGAGATTGGTTCCCTTCCTGAAGTAACCCAGAAAGTGTAGAATACCATGCTTCATGGGAATTATCTTAAAGAATACATTGCTGCGAAGAAGTAATGCCATCAGAATCACATATCCTCCCCCAGAGCACAGTAGTGTGTGACTAAAGAATCAAGGACTTAACATTTTTCTCCTCTGATGTTCCTATGGTTAGTCACAGAAAAACATGGAGATTCTGTGTGGCTACACCATATAGATGTTCCACAAATAATCCCCCACCCCAGTAACCTCATGGGGCTTATTTCATATTGCATGGAGGATATTTCATTTTTCTTTACCCATAGTAACACTAAAACGCGATATAAAACCTCTCCAGTGTACAAAGCTTTAATAACTACCAGCAGATATTTGTTCCAAAGGAGGCTGAGAGCTAGTGATTTTTGACTCACATGAATTTGACAGGAAAGAAAAGCAAATGGAAAAACACTCAGGAATCCGCTAGAGGTTTACAAAGAGTCCCTAGTCTTCTGCTACATTTACTCTCTCTCTCTCTCTCTCTCTCTCTCTCTCTCTCTCTCTCTCTCTCTCTCTCTCTCTCTCTCTCTCTCTCTCTCTCTCTCTGTGCCCTGGCATGTAGTCATTTTGATTTTTCTTTTGCTTTATGCATCTCTGAGCCTGAATGTTGTTTAGGTAACTGATAGAATCGTCAATGAGCTGAACAGTTTTCTAATCTTAGTTGGAATATTTGGCAAGAGACAAAGACTCGTGGGGAGCAGCTGTCCAGAAGAAAACAGGAAAAATGAAAGAGGGTCCTAAATAAACATTTTACTCTAAAGTAGATATGCCTGCTGAAGACAGATAACCTGTTTGCTAGGGGTCACTATTTACTTTCATTTTGAATATCTAAATTGTTATATTCTGACGTAACTTCTTAGTCATAATGTTCCTAGTCAGAAAATGATGTTGGGGAGGTCAGTGCACTTACTACAAGTGAAAACGTTTTCCTTTATTGCCTGTACTCAAAATATCATAAAATTGCATTGTCTAATGGTATAGAATATATATTTTTCTTTAATTCTGTTCCCTCTCTTGTTAAATCATATGAAGCCCCCAGTTAGTTGCAAGTCTCTTGATGGATACTGTAACAAACGCAAGAGTTTACAGATGTTTCAAAAATGAAAATCTGACTCCCATTTCTGTCACTTGTTAACCAAGTAAAACTGAATATTCACTTAACCTCTGTGACTCTCAGTTTTCCTGTCTGTAAGATGAGACATGCTTACTTCAAGATGAAACGCAAAACGTAAATCAAAGTACATAGTGCAAGAACTCAACATTGAACCTGGCACAAAGAAGCACAAAGTCAGTAAGAGAAATTTCTTTTTACAATAAATCCACTGTTGTTTCCACCACTAGTATTCCTTTACTCTTATCACCAAGAATTTACAGTCATTTTGATCCCAAGGAGACAAAGGACAATTTATGCTTCTTTTTCTAGGCCTATGTTCCAGTAAATGCCTGGCAGAATGCAAGCACTTAATAAAGGTTTGATTAAATGATGAACTTACAGCTTTTCATTAAGCAAACTATTTACCATGTTAGAAGTCAAAAAACTCATACAAAATTAATGCGCTAATATTCTTAGTTGAGGGATAAAATTCCTAAATGTTCACATACTCAAGACACCTTACACTTGACCTTCAACATTACTACCAAATGAGAGTACTAGCATAACTTGTTCTCCTTGAATATTCTGACTGCACAGATATATCAATTACAATGTTTCACACTCTTTTACATGTGTGGCTTTTGCTGTTTTCTGTATACTATTCCATAGTCTAATTAGACCACTCTTTAAAAGATGAAAATAATTTGTTTATAAAGCCACTAATATTTTAAACTTTAGAAAGTCATCTCTTTGCAGCTACTCATGAATTTGCATTCAAACATGCCTAGTTTGAAAACATGTTAGACTTTCATACAAACGTCTTTCTGAAGGCTAATAGACAATCTCCCTGAGAGAAGATACAAATAGTTACCTTAATTTTAGGAATGGCAAAATTTACTTCTTAACCCATTCTAGTCTTAAATATCCATCCAATGCCAAGGATCTGGGTCACATGGTCATGACAACCAAAGGAAGAATTTAAGAAATAGTATAAAGGCTTGTCTTGAGTAGTTTCTCACTGTAAAATAATGTGAAACATCTCCATGAGGAAATACAATTTTAAGGAATTTCCTATTTTCTCAAGTTTTTTAATTGGGTTGTATGTTTACAGGGTGATTAGAATAAAGTTAGAATTAGTGTGGGCCTGTTGAATTCTGTAGATCAAGTTACTTTCTATTGTAGAGCTCTAAACGCAAATTCAAATTCTTTAACTGATAATTTTTTTCTGGAGAAAAGAAGACAAAACTCTTAAGACAATTCTAAATTAAGGTTAGAGCATAATTTCTATAAGATGTAAGTACATTATATCAACAATATTGGGCCAATATTACTACTACTTTTCTGAAAATGAAACACTGAGATATGGCCAGGAGTTACCTCCACAGTGTGTACCACAAACCTATCAAACCCATCTTTCCGTTTATGGATAGGTGCTAATAGATCAATCACTCTGGGCTAGCTAAACTACCTCTTAATTTAAAGCCTTAAAATACTGTTATTGAACTGTGTGTGTGAGAGAGAGTGTTGTTGTTGTTGGTGGTGGTGGTGGTGGTGGTGTGTGTGTGTGTGTGTGTGTGCTCAATGAAAACAATTTAGCAATTATTAAAGACCAGGAAGCTATTCCATCTGATGGATTCCTCCTATTTTCTGAGTCATTGCATAGAAAAATAAATGGAAAGATCAAAGTGCATGTTCCTTACACGTAGAGGGAAACAGCTTCCACTAGAGACCAGTTTCATAATAAACTTACAATTTGTGAAACACTTTTCTTATTTAAAATAAAAACATACAACAAGAGCAAAGTGAATTCAACACAAGTAACTAATGCTATGTGCCTTTAAGCTATTATTTCTTAATTGAAGAACTGTAGCAAATGCCTTCTCCCAGAAAGGCATCTTATTAACACAGTTGAAATGGTATTTTGAAAATAAAGGACAAAATATGAAGTTATGTGACTGTGAATAGGTCTTTAATACACTATGGTCACCACTAAATAACTTCCAATTTCTTGAGATATTTTGGAAATATCAATTTCAAGGCTAAAAATTATTAAATACTCCTCTCGAAATTTACTAATAGAAGTGGGTGGTAGTGGTGCACTCCTTTAGTCCTAGCACTGGAGGCAGAGGCAGATGGATCTCTGTGAGTTCAAGGCCAGCCTGGTCTACAGAGTGAGCTCCCACCAAAGTTACACAGAGAAATCTTGTTTCAGAAAAAAAATTGCTAATGGATTTTTTTTTACTTTTTTAAGTCATAGTTCTAGGTACATAACAATCACTCAAAAGTATTTTTAAATTTTACCTGTATTACTTCAAATAAACCAGCTTAATACAATTCTAAGTATATTTACACATTCACCTCTCTTATCATTAATTTCTCTCCACATAAAATCATATAAATATAATAAACATATTCTTTCATCAAAAATTATGAAACTATAGTTACAGAAAGGTTTTTCAAATGTTTTGTAATGTCTCCTTTACAGTTCTGCTTCTCTCATTGTAGGAATCCCCCTATGTTATGTACAAGAAAAATCACGAAATGTTTGAAGGAAATGACAAGTATGAAGGCTACTGTGTAGATTTGGCATCCGAAATTGCAAAACATATCGGTATCAAGTACAAAATTGCCATTGTCCCTGATGGAAAATATGGAGCCAGGGACGCAGACACTAAAATCTGGAATGGAATGGTAGGAGAGCTTGTGTATGGGGTAAGCAAACCTATTTACGAGGAATTTACTTACATAAAACTGAAGCTTCTTTCCCTTGGGCATGTTTCAATTTTTAAGCATCCATAACTGCATTCTTTGATAATTTATAGCAATGTTTCAAAAGGTATTCATTATATTCAAACATTTCTCTATTTCATTAAAACGCAAATTCCAAAAAAGAGAACTGATCCTGGTAATTTAGAATGAGAAAAGAGATAAAAATTCAGAATACAGTGTCCTCCACATAGCACAGAGACAGGAATGAAAACAAAACCACATTGACTTTAGAATCTGTGATGAATATAACTTAAACTGGTAGACCACAGACAGATTCAAAGACCCATGAGCAATCTGTTACTGTGCAGATTTCCTCCAACAGTATAAAGTCAGTGACCACTTTATCTAATGTGTGTAACTTTGCTATTCATAATTGCTCATAACTGTCTTTTAACGAGCTTCTGATTAGGGTAGTCTCCCAGTGTCTGAAATATTCATCAGCACTGTATTTCTTAAAATTCTTTGAGCCACACTGAATGTACATTTCAGATAATGCTCTCTCTCTCTGTCTCTGTCTCTCTCTGTCTCTCTCTCTCCCTCCCTCCCTCCCTCCCCCTCCCTCCCTTCCTCTCCCTCTCTCTTCATTCTAGCATATATAACAAAATACAAAAGCAAAGCAAGAATGTTTTCCAAAGTAGGTCTCTCGCACAGCATGCTGTGCCCTTCCCCTGAGCAAGCACACTGGACATGGAGTGCACATGTTGATAGCCAAGGGCAACCGCAACAGAACACTGCAGGGAAGTTCTGCCTGGATGAACAAGATCGAGGCCCCTCATTTTTAGCAGCCATTGCAGTGTCACAATCAAACCCTGGTGATGCTATAAAATATCCAAAGTTCAGAGTCCAAACCTGAGCACAGGAAGGTTTGTGCACCCAGGAAGCAAATTATGAAATAGCTAAATGCTAATTTTTAGTTCACAGGTTTCACTTTCAAAGTGTGCACTCTCTCTAATTAATCCTCAGAAAACCCTTTGAAATGAGGAATTACGTGGAGATTCAGCCTTCACCAGGAAAAAGTAAACAGACACCAGACACAGGTGAAGTCCACAGAAGGAAACAAATTCCTGACTAGAACTGCGATGAGATAGTTTCAAAATTCTGCACCTCGTTTCTCTTTCTTTTTGTTATTATTTTCATTATTTAAAATAATTTTTAATTTAAATATATTTTGATCATATTCTTCCCCTGCCCCAAGTAATTCCAGATCCTCTCCCCCTCCTTACCCACACAAATTTAAGTTCTTTCTCAAAAAAAACAAACAAAAATCCAACACAACAACAAGTCCCCCCAAACCCCCCAAATCAAGAAAACAAAATAAAACAGCACCACCAAACTATAACCAAATAAAATCACACACACTCACACACACACACACACACACACAGACACAGACACAGACACAACCCTGTGATGGTCACCTAGCCCTGAACACGAGAGCTGTTCTGGAGTGGTTAAAATATCCAGTATCACTCTACTGGACAAGACTGATTTCCTCTCTCCCACAGGTATAAATAAGTTCAGTTGTTACCATTTATCCTAGTAGCCAGGTTTTCATTTGTTCCTTCCTTCATTTTTTAAAAATGTAATAAAATAAAATCAAACAAAACATTGAACTTAAATGAGGCAAGCCAACAGAAAGATAAGAGGCAATGAGAAGAAACAAGAGTCAGAAACCCACATGTTTACACACCCAGGAGTCCCTTGAAATACTAAGCTAGCAGCTGGACATCCTGGTGCAGAGCCCTGTAGACTGCACTTGCTGCGTGGATGTCTGTGAGTTCATATGAACTTTGCTCCACTGCTTTAGAGGGCCATGTTCTCCTGGTGTCTGCCATCCCTTCAGGCTCTTTCATTCTTTTGACTATCTCTTCTCTGGGGAAGAGCTCTCAGCAAGAGCAAAATGACAAGCTATGGACTCATTATCTTTTGTTTATTCTTGAAAAACTGCTATTGTAATTGCTATACATTGATTGCCTTTCATCTCTTACATTGAGAACTAACATAGGAACCTGACTTACACTCCTTGAATCCCCATCTCCGTGTGTGTGTGTGTGTGTGTGTGTGTGTGTGTGTGTGTGTGTGTCTCTGTGTGTGTGTGATGTGACAAGAACACAAAACAACCCCAGTGTTAGCACACAATGCCAGCACATATCTTCATCCATTGTTCTGAGCTCTGATAATTATAACAAACCAGGAGCCTGAAGTTATGTAGCAGGAATTTAGGAGAGGTTGCCTCTAAATAAATCTAAAACATATAATAAAAAATGTCAGTGGTCAAGAGCACCTGAATCTTCTGCAAACAGTTAAGTACCAGAGGTCAGTTCCTAGCATCATGGTTGGGCAACTCATAACCACCTGATCCAGCACCCTCTTCTGGCCTCTGTGGGAGCCTGCCCACATGTGCACATACACATCAAATAGATCCTTTAGAAAGTGAGAACACACAGAATCAACTGACCTGAGCTAATGAGAGATCACTGACTCAGGTCTGACAAATGGGGAACCTGCATCAGACCAAACTAGACTCCCTTAATATAGGCGACAGTGGTGTGATGGGGACAATATATGAGGCCACTAATGTACAAATTTAGTGAATCACATTCTATATGGAGAGATACCATACCCATCCTAGACACAGGAGTTTGGGGGTAGAGAGTACCTTGGTTCTGCCTCAACTAGATGATGGGACAGACTTAATAGACTTCCTATGGGAAGCCTTACCCTCTCTGTAGAGCAGATGGGAGAAAGGGGGAGTGGAGGGAGGAAAAGAGGGGAGGGAGAACTGAGATTTCAATGTAAAAATAAATTAATAAAAAAATAAAATAAATATTTTTTAAAAAGTGATAGCATCTGGCAAAGATTGTGTCTAAATGTGCCTGATCCCACTTTGATGCAAACTATTTTCCTTTAAAGTAAATAAAGCTCTATTTTATTTTGTCATTCAGACCAGTTTAGTTATTGTCATACAACTTATATAATTCTATTCTAGATGTTTGCCAGACTCAAGTCTAAGAGCTGCCACAGTTGGAAAACTCAGTATCATTTCTGTCAAGGCAAGCAGCAGGAAATGGGCCGTTTCAAATACTCCGGTCTGCATCAGATAAAGAATCTGTCAGCATATGCTCACTAATGTCCAGTTAAGGGTATAGTAGATAATTGCAGTCACACATTAAGGTAAACAGGCAAAAACACAGCCCCATTTTAGAGATGCAGAAAAAATAACTCAGGGTCACCAAAAAATGAAGAGGGGACTTGTGATTTTGATATCTAAAATCTTGTTTTAAAAGGATATTGAAAATGACAATCAAAGAATGAGTACCACAGGAAGCACATGCCAGTTTCCAGACTTTCACGTGTGAACTGAGCTGGAATATGTTGTCAAAAGAAGGGAATGGGTTTTGATGAGGCAAATACTTATCAGGCAATACTCATGGCAATATTTCTGTGGGTGGGCCCGGCAGGAGAGATATGTAATCCCAACACTTGGGAAAGCTGAGGTTCACAAATCCAAGGCCAGCCTATACTTTATAGTTAAGATTCTGTCTCAAAAAAGCAAAAAAAAAACCCTTTGTCAATTAAAAAGATTCTATGCAATTTAAGTAATAACCTCATGAAACCAAACCATTATGTGTTTTTTTTTTTTTGGCGGCACCCAAAATGATGTTTTAAAATAATGAATGCATGACTAATGAACTTTTCTGGTCAGTCCACTGCCAACTGCTTCATGGAATTCACTGTTTCCTTGTGTGTTTTCTCTTCTAGAAAGCGGAAATTGCTATTGCACCTCTGACAATCACCTTGGTACGTGAGGAGGTCATTGACTTCTCCAAGCCTTTCATGAGTTTAGGCATCTCTATCATGATCAAAAAGCCTCAGAAATCCAAACCAGGCGTGTTCTCCTTCTTGGACCCTCTGGCCTATGAGATCTGGATGTGCATAGTGTTTGCATACATTGGTGTCAGTGTGGTCTTGTTCCTAGTCAGCAGGTTTAGCCCATATGAGTGGCACACGGAAGAGCCCGAGGATGGAAAGGAGGGTCCCAGCGACCAGCCTCCCAATGAGTTTGGCATCTTTAACAGTCTCTGGTTTTCCCTGGGGGCCTTTATGCAGCAAGGATGTGACATTTCACCCAGGTTAGTGTCAAATCTAGCATACTTTGCCAGTTCTCAGAGATCCTGAGTGTTCTCCACAGTTTCTCTGTCTTCCTCTCCTACACTATCTGAAATGCAGGAAAAATTGCAATTCTCTGATAATCCTATTTTATAAATAATTTCTTCTAAGCTACCATATAACTTAGATGCATCATGAAAAGAGAAGTATTATTTTGTAATGCTACTCCATAATGCTATTTTGTAATACAATTCATTCAACGGCTTGACTGTTGTTAACAAAATCTAAATTGTAGAATAACAATTTTATGGTATCTCTTATCCAAAAATCATTGCTGTGGCTGTTATTGTGATCCGTCATCAAAAATTACTGTTGAACTTAACTCACATGACTTAAAGGAGCTCTCTGCTCTTGGGATCCTGAAAACTGAATAGGTATGTGTTGTAGTAGATGTGTTTGGTTATCACAATGCGGATGAGGAGGCTGAGCAACAAGGGAGCATCTGGTCAAGTCTCCTCCTGGGGCGTCCTGATTTTCTTTCTGTCCTGCCACTCTGTTACCGCAAAACAAAAACTCCAGCTTGCTACAAAAAAAATGCTTGATTTCTCCCACAGGGTAACTAAAAGAATAAGAAGCAAAATGTTGGATTTTATACATTTGAACAAACAAATATGTGTAGAAATATACATGTTCCTTTTGAACCCAACGCATCTGAAATTCATAAGGTCCAGGAAATGGTAAAATCTGCTAAATTTAAATAACATAGAATTCAGAGGCAAAAAGGAAGGATCAGAGCAAACCAAGTTTTTTGAAGTGAAGGGTAAGCAGTACTAAGGTAAAACTGGTGCCATGTTTTAAATCAAGAAAGGCCTGATTTACATTAGCAAAGAGGCAATGGGGTAGAAGAACTACAGGAAATTCCAAGTTTTGTTTTATGTAAAGCAAATGTTAGGATGATGGCTCTGGTGGTAAAGGAACCACCAGACCCAGGGATCTGAACTCAACTGTGAGGATCTATCTGGAAGAAGAAAATAACTGTCTCCTTCATGCTGCCCTCTGACCTCCCTCTGTAAGACATAGTGCACCCATGCACATGCTAACACACAAATAAAATATAATTTAAAACTTTAAATAGATATTTTAAAAATATTTGGCAGGCGTGTTGACTTATCGACAACACTCAGGAGGCTGAGGCAGGAGAATTGCTCCAAGTCTAAGAAAACTATGGGCCAAATAGTGTGTTTAAGGCCAGCCTGGACAACATAATAAGAGTAACCTTGTCTTGAGGGCAGAAATGAGTGAAATTACTTATGAACATTCCTCTATGTATTTTTTTAAATTTATCTTATTTTAACTTTGTTCTAATACTCACCTACAGTCTTTGTAGACATTGTTATGTCAGCATAAAATATACTTTTAGGACATCTACACAGCTCAAAATGAGATCTTTTAAGGCCGAATCTTCTAGTCTCACTTACTCCAGCCTCATCCCGGCCTACATAGCTTGCCAAAGAGCTCTGACAGGCCCTCTCTCGGTTTCTGAAAGGCATCTACCATTGTACAGGAAATCTAAACTCTATTAGCTTAAAATCGAAACTCTCTATCTTCTACAACATGAAGAGAGACTAAAACATTGTCAACTAAACCAGAGTACCGTGATGTCATTTATCAACGGCTGCACCTACTTCAAAGATACAGAAGTGTCAGAGAGGTACGGTACTGAGAACATTAAGTAATATTCCCACTTTGCTAAAGGCCAGAGAGGACAGTTCCACATTTCTGCCAATAAAACAGCGAAGTCACTTTGTCATGTCTTCACTGACACTTAATATTCACTGACACTGCATCACTAAGCACACTAGCAGAAAATAACACAATATTTGAAACTGTAACTTTTAAATGTGATTGTGAATGGCTGCCATCTTTCTTCTGTCTGTGGGTTAGAAAGGGAAAAGCGAATGATCTTATCCATGTTTAGATCCCTGTCAGGTCGGATCGTTGGAGGCGTCTGGTGGTTCTTCACACTCATCATTATTTCGTCTTACACTGCTAATCTGGCTGCTTTCCTGACGGTGGAGAGAATGGTCTCCCCCATAGAAAGTGCAGAAGACCTGGCCAAACAAACAGAAATTGCATATGGTACACTGGATTCGGGGTCAACAAAAGAATTCTTCCGAGTAAGTCACAGGAATAATAACGGCACCTTCATAATTCTGAATTCTAGGTGAAGTCTGTAACACTTACATTATGACCTTAGCTAGTGTGAATTGTAATACACCATGGCAACAGCACGCTTACTTCTTAGTGTATCTTCTTGGGTTTTTGTAATCACAATTTTAACTTGCCAAAATTGATGCATGCTGCAAGACAAAGCTTCTCTAAGAAATAGCAATAGTAAAAAGGTGACTAAGGTCACTTTATAACATGACTTCCCAACTTTCTAGTGATACTAGCACTCTGATAATTTTACTTCAGGTAAGATTAGAATTGTATCTATTTTAAGGCCAAGAATACAAAATTGGAAAGCAAACTTTCTTTTAAAGAAAGACTGTATTTAACTTGCTGTATTTGACATCTAAAACCTCAGTGGCAGACTCTTTTAAGAGCTGAATCACTCTGTAATCTATTCCGTAGTTACAGTTTTCAAAGCAAAAGGTTTGTTTCTTACAAAATACTGTTGGCAATAAAGGTATAGCCCTCCTTAACAATGAATGGTTCTGGAGACCTCTATAGCAATGGCTCTAGGGACCTCTGTAAGACTGTATGGAGTTTAGATTTGATGACTTTTGGTTGGCAGTACAATGTTTTGATTGATACAACTGTGTCACACCTGGACTTTGGCTTTCTATCACTGAAGCAATGATGTGTGTTTCAGTCTGTTCTTTTTTCCCTTTGTCCCAATGGGGTTAAATTGTTTTTAACCATTGTAATTTTTGAGACAGTGTTTCTCTGTGTAACAGCTCTGGCTATCCAAGAACTAGCTCTCAAGACCAGGCTGGCCTCAAAAGCAGAAATCTGCCTGCCTCTGCCTCTTGAGTGCTGGGATTAAAGGAGTGAGCCACCACCACTTGGCTAGTTTTGTTTTAATTGTTTTGTATTTTGTTTTGTTGTGTTTTTTCAGTTGAAAACTTAACTGGTTTAGCTCTGGAATCTTGTTGGCATGTGTTATTGTGCATTGTTGGTTCCCATGCCTCTCTCTCCCCTCTGTCCTCCTCATATGCTCCCATGTTCCTTCCTGCTGCTCCTCTCCTACCTCCAAATACCCTTTCTCTCTCCCCTCTGTCCTCCTCATATGCTCCCATGTTCCTTCCTGCTGCTCCTCTCCTACCTCCAAATACCCTTTCTCTCTCCCCTCTGTCCTCCTCATATGCTCCCATGTTCCTTCCTGCTGCTCCTCTCCTACCTCCAAATACCCTTTCTCTCTCCCCTCTGTCCTCCTCATATGCTCCCATGTTCCTTCCTGCTGCTCCTCTCCTACCTCCAAATACCCTTTCTCTCTCCCCTCTGTCCTCCTCATATGCTCCCATGTTCCTTCCTGTTGCTCCTCTCCTACCTCCAAATACCCTTTCTTTTCTTTCTAGTTGCCTTTTAATTTTGTTCTTCCTAGGTAGTCAATACCTGCTTAGCAATGTGCACTCAGATATTTCCAGGTTATTTTATGAATTTGGGGCCAAAATTTTAAAAGATACCCAATGTGACAATTTCATAGACACTGTAGTATATGATAATGAATGTATTTTGTATTTAATATCAATTGTTAGAAGACACGAGGTGGTAAATTACATGGAGTGTGAAGGATGTTTCACTGTTTTCTAAGCTTTTAATTTGACAGCAATGATAGCTTATCTTCCAGACATTTAAACAACATCTGAAAGAGAGACATATGTAATTTTCTCAGTAGTTTAAAAATAAACACAACCAAATGTGATATTCTATGTGCTGGCTTTAAACTTACTTGACTTTCACCCTTTAAGAAGGGAGTTTTCATTTTGATTATACAGTATTACAAATACTTACATAAATCTAAATCAACAACAAATCACTCAAAACTTGATGAAACCAGAGTATTGTGCTTAGTGTTGAGTATTAGCTACAAGTATTGATTAAAAATTTCAAATGATCTAAAAATATTTATGAGTTTTTTCTGAATGTCTAAGTAATTGCCATGGCAGTAGACTTTATTAACAATATTGTCCAGATAAAGTTACACAATCAAGCCTTCTCTTAATTTATTGAAGAGGTTAATAACATTCACTTATGTTGCCTGGAAACCATTCTGCATCAAAATAGAATGTTGTTGCTTGCCTTCCACTGAGAAGTGATGAACAGTGCTCATTAAATGACGAAACCTGCAGGTTCATCATCTTGCCTTGAGTAATGAAGGGAAAAGACATCATGTTGATACCTTGAAAGAACAAACAAACAATAGCTCACAATAAAGCTCTTCACAGATAACACACTACAAATACTGACTTCTTATTCTTTACAAAGTTTTTTTTTCCTTTTCAAATTCTGAAAACTAGTTAGATAGATGAAAGACTATATCAATAAGACATGTGGGGACAAGGAAAGCTGCTTCCATGGTTTAAGTCTTCCTACACAAACTTGATCCCCACTAAGCCTCTAATTCTTTCTCTCTTGCCCAACTGCAGTTTTAAAATGGGAAAACTTTCCTAAGTGTGGGTATTTATTTTTTTGCAGAACACTCCAAACACTGATGGGACAACAAAGTAATTTTCTCAGACAGAACACTTGAAACAACATTCCTTTTCTACCGTATTTGCCTCCCTCCATTCCCATTCACAGTGACCTGGTTTGTGTAACCCATTTGTCTGATGAGCAGAAGAAACAGGACTGGAAGGGTATTTTCGTACTTGTCAGAAATGCTTTCTTGTAGTTACATGGTAATGGCACATCTGTCAGCTCCACTCAGTCACCTCAGGCAGTGAATGACCCACCGGCAGCATTGCACGATGTTACCCACTGCAAAAACAACTTTGACCATTCATGGGGGAAAATTATATATGCATTTGCCTTGGCTTTACCCCATTATGAAACTCACTATACTTGAGGTTCTGCACACTTGGTTATACTTTCAAAAGGATCCTACATGTCACTCATGGAAGCCATGCTATTCAAGCATTTTTACATTACACACCTGACTCAGACACACTGATTTTCACTTCAACACAAGCTGAATCCTGTTCCTGTTTCAGTCATCGGCAAGATGGAAGAATAAGTGAGGTAGACTACTAGCTCAACGTTTAGAATATTACCAACCAAGACATAGATGAGAGGTCCCCAGAACACAGGCCCTGCTACATACGCCACTAACAGAGAAAGTAGCTAAATGTGCATTAGAATGCATGATATACTTTTTCTCATAAATGTAGTATGTACAATACTTCATATATGAGGACTGAAAGTGGCATTATTAAAACTCCAAGGATTGTTTGAACTAATACATTAATGCCTTAAATTAGTGGCTTCTTGGACATTGTTGCACAATAACAATGAAACAAACAGATCTGGCATTTTTAATTTTTACAAAATGACTTTTGTATGACCTATGTTCATTACCTTGAGCATATCTACTTCCCATGCCAGACCTTTTTTTTTTTTTTTTTTTTTTTTTTGGTTTTATGAGACAGGGTTTCTCTGTATTGTTTTGGAGGCTGTTGGTCCAGCCTGGCCTCGAACTCACAGAGATCTGCCTACCTCTGGCTCCCGAGTGCTGGGATTAAAGGCGTGTATCACCACCGCCTGGCCAGACTTTTTAAGTAGATTCCACAGTTGAAAGGTTTAGGGATATAAATGTCTGTGACCATTGTGCTAATTAGCTTGCTGGGTGTGCAGAATGTCCCTCATTTCAGCCCATCTCTTTAAGTTTGAAAATGTTTGTTTGCCCTCACCCATTACCAAACACACTTGCAGCCCCAGGTAAGCAGGGCCAGGGCTATTATTTCTAGATTTATGGTTTTTACTCCCCTCATAATTTGTCTGTGTGTGTGATCTTGTCAAAGTCAGTCCCCTTTCGGTCAGAGTCAACATTTCTAAACCTTGCCACAGTGACAAGACAGGCCCAGCATTTCCCATAATTTACTTTCATCTGACCTCTTCCCATTGAGTCTGCCCCTCAAAATTTCTGCTTAGCTCTTCTAATGTCATCACAGACACTGTATGGACTCATCTTTTTTTCTCAGTTTTAAAGAGAATGAATGCAGCAATAATTTTCCTAACATTAGTGGTGTAGAATTTTTTTGGAAACAGTTGAGTTCATGTGGCTATTTTTTCACATAAAAATGTATCTGGGAGCTGTTAAAATGACTCAACAGCTTAAATTGCTTGGCGCAGAAGCCTCAAAACTGAGTTTGATACCCAGAACCCGTGAAAGGAGACAAACTCCCAAAAGCTGCCATTTGACCTTCACATGTGTAGGCTGGCACCACACCCCAGAATACACAAGCACAATAATAAAAATTAACTAAAATTTAAATTTAAAATCCAGAAAGACTCAAGTAAACTGAGTATTGAGTAGAATAAAGGGAGACAGAAGTAATTTTAAGATAAATAAGATTTTAGACAGTCACGTGGCTAGAATGACACAGAATGAAGTATGAAAACAGAAACCACATGTCTGTAAAGTCCAGTGTATTGTTCTGTTTGTTTATTTTGTCATATTCATCCTCAAGCTATGTGAGTCGTCTCGAGCTTGGATCCTGCTCAGTGGGAATTCAGTTCATAAACTCCAGCACTTATCCTCTGTCTCTTTAAAGTTTAAGGGCTAAGTTGGTGTGAACTGAACCTTTGAGGCATGAAAAAATCGTATATAAAATGAAAATGACTCTACTCTACCTCAAATGCAGACCTGAGAAGAGTTTTACAGAAGCATGAGTCAGGTCTAATCTGGTCCTTCCTAGCCTCATCAGGAATATGATAGAATGTGGGCTCTTAAATGTCCAGTGCTTTTCAGGACCTTCTACCTTTAATAACAGCAGCAAACAATGAAACAGTAGCGTGTAATAATTATTATGACAAGTGTTACATGTTTTTTATCATCACTATAAATGTCTGGCTCTTGGTTGATTTCCTAAGCGTTTTGGGAGTTCAATTTCTGAAGAGTTAGGTTTCTTTCTTTTTTTTTTTTCCAGTTTAAATTTAGATAAGAAACAAGGTTGCTTCACAAGTCAGTTCCAGGTCCCTCTCCCTTTCCCTCCCCTCCTCCCGTGCCCTCCCCCCAACCCCCCCCCGTTATCCCCTCATTCCCCCAGGGAGGGTGAGGCCCTCCATGGGGGTGTCCATAGTCTGTCATATCATATAGGGCAGAGTTAGGTTTCTGCCAGACAAAATGAATGACACAAAGACTTACCATAACCTCGATTTTTTTTCTTTATTAACATGCTGTTCCCTTCTTTCCTGTATTGAATTTTATTTGCATTCCCTCCAGAGATCAAAAATAGCAGTGTATGAAAAGATGTGGACCTACATGCGATCAGCAGAGCCGTCTGTGTTCACTAGGACTACAGCTGAGGGCGTGGCTCGTGTCCGCAAGTCCAAGGGCAAATTTGCCTTTCTCCTGGAGTCCACGATGAATGAATACATTGAGCAGCGAAAGCCCTGTGACACGATGAAAGTGGGAGGAAACCTGGATTCCAAAGGCTATGGTGTAGCAACACCCAAGGGTTCCTCATTAAGGTGGGTGGAATAGTATAACAATAGATCATGCATTGTTATAGTATTCCACCTTCCCTGATGTCCCTGAAAAAAATTATTTTACTTTGTGTGTGAATAGTATGTTTGTTGGTTTATTTTCCTTTTCTCCATTTCATACTTTTGATCAACAGTCAGGCAAAAGTTATTTTTTTGTTTTAATTCTGAAATGATCATATTTGACATTAATCTTTGAAGGCCATATAAAAACCAACGTGGTTGAACACTAGCTGCTTGAAGTGGGCCTAAATAATGGGTTTTATATTTTTCTAGATCTCATCAACTTTTTCTGTTGTTTTGCCCACAATTGATGCTGCCTGCTACCATTGTGTCAGGAGTGACTCTACATTTTATTGCTATGTTTAAATCTTATGTCTGGCTGCTAGACTCTCAGCAAGAAGAAATCCACTCTTTCCAACAGAGAGATTTCCTTTTTCCATTTCAGTGTTTTGTTTGATATGGCATCATTCTATTTCAGACTATGGAGAGGTTGGACTGGTACTGTTTGAAATCATGTCCTTTTATAAAGCCAACCAGACCTAGAGGAAGTGTAGGCTCTGGCTTTATGGTGCTTACTCAGGTCATACTCCCATATATTTTTAAGGGAGTGTGGTATAAGTAAGATCTGTAAAGTTAGAAAAAGTATGACTCAAAAATGTTTGTAGATAGACTCTTCTAAGGGGCTCATAAGAAAAGCATTACAAGAATGGGTTAAAATGGTCGAATCTGCCCTTTGCATCCTTTCGGTTCCCAGTATAGAAAATTCATGTTTACACCCAGAAAGCAGAATTTCCTATTTTCCTTAAGTAATAAAGGCTGCTTTGGACCTACTGGGGCTAAAGCCCACCGCAAGTGATAACTGACAAATCACTCTGGTCTCAGTGCTGCTTAGGAGAGAAGCACAAAGCACAGATTCAAGAGGAAATCACAGGCCTTGCTAAAGGGCTTAACCAAGAACCTGTCTTGAGAAGTGATGTCTCTGGTAAGCCATTGAAAACTGAAGGTAATGAGAATTGTACTATTGCCCAGCCATAATGAAAGCAATGCCAATGCCCTGTGATTGTTTTCATTGGCTTCAAAAAGGGTACTGCAATGTACTTGGGTGTGCCCAGCTGGGGAAAGGTTGAGATATATATTTGAGAAACAAATATGGATACTGGGAAGGGTTATACTAACTCAATACAGTGTATGAAGAAGGATATTCTGTGAATGGGAAACTTTTCAAAGGAAATAGTTACAAAAAGTAGTCAACTAAGACAAATTTGAGTACAGATTCAGGCAGCTGTGATCTCTGATTTATTTTAACACCTATTCCATATAAAACTAAAGAAATAATCAGGGAAACACCACACTAATAAATTACCCATGGCATAACCCTAACTAAAGAGATTTCAGCCACTCAGAAATTTAAGCTGCTACCAGATGTTTAGACTTTGTTGACATGTCTTGTGCAATGTGTTATAAAAATTTCCATTAAGTCAGGTATCAGATAAACTTCTATTGAGGTAGCAGTACAAGAACACTTCAATGTAAATAACTTACAAAAAATAGAAGGGTGAAAGCAACTATGGCTGGTATGTAGATCCGTGGTCAGGCTATTGATTTCATTCACTGCTGTCTCTTTTAATTAATTCTCGGTGGATATAGCTGTCTTGTCCTCTTTCTTGTGTCTTCTGATAAAGTCAAGCTTCAGGGACTGATTTTGGCCCTAAAATGCTGTGAGTCTGCCTCCCATTGATGACTAGAGAGTTTCCTCTTAAATGTGCCACTTTGTCAAATCTACACTACAGGCATTGTTTAGGGCAATGCTGAGGGGCTTCATCTGTCCAGAACTGTATAATAATGAGTGATTGGCTTCCCACTCTTTTCCTGTTCTTGCTAGATCTTGTTAATGAGGCAATTGTTAAACCCGCTTCCTGGATGGGGAGTTCGTTTATGCATTTTGTTTTCTCTATGCCACAGTTTCCTGAGCAAGCTGGCCCCTGCATTCCAAAACCACAGTCATTTTGCCCATGTCTTTGATTGCACCGGAAGGGACATGAAAGGCTAAAAGTATTCACCTTTCTCTCTCTACATCTCCACTCTCCCAAACCCAGCTATGGAAGCAAGAAAGGCCCATTAAATTGCGATTCTCCTTCTCCTTCCCCTAAGAGATTTGACTTTCTAGATGGGAAAACCAATACAGAGTTTACCTAATAGCATCTTTTGCATACATTCGTTTATAGAAACAAGCTTGCATTAATTGCATTCATAAAGCAAGCTCTAGAGGGCACATGATCATCAGGTGTCCCTGAGACCTGTCTTAGCAGTAACTTCAAGCTGTTTTCCCATAGAAACTTTTTTTTTCAATCTTGTCTTTGCAGTAATTGTTCTGCTTATGGTAAGATATGTGTATGTCATTATTATTAACTTCAGCTTCCTTACAACCTCTGTTCTGATTTACTAAGCAACTGAGAAAAGATGAAACAGCAGTGTTTCCTTCTGTGTTGTGTAAGGATAACCTGACAAGTCTGGCAAATGACTGGCCATGTCCTTTCACTTAGTGTTTTAAGCTTCCATACTTTACTATTTGTTTAAAATTCTATAAAATAAATGTCACAGAAAAGAGGAATCCAGTGACATACACTCAGAACAGATAGTCAGGACTTTGTTCTTTACTGTGAGCTTTAAAATAAGCATAAGCAAGATTATTGTAAAGATGCATCTGTGAAAAAATGTCTCTGTAGGGGCTGAGACAGCAGTATAGAGCTTGAACAGCTAGCCCTGGGCCCTAAGTGCAAGCCCAGGTAATGAAAACAATCAGAAGGTCACCCAGTATGAGTGGTACACAGTGATAAACAGATTTTCACCATCCAGAAAGACTTCACTGAGGATGTTGTCCACTGGATATACGTGCAAATCTTAAAGATGTTAAGCATTCAGTTGTGGACAGCTCTGAGATTATTGGTTATTATATTTTAGCATAGATTCTCCAGTTCTTAAATGACACAGAAGAATGAGCAGTATGAGGTAAATGGGTCTTTTTATTTCTCCTGAATCCCCTTTGTAAATGCACATTCCTTTTTAGGGTTCTCTCCTTTCCGTGGCATTTTCCCTATCCCTTCTCCAGGACCCTTGACTACCCAAAATTACCCTGAAAGCTTTCTCTGACTGGATATTCATAAGGGTTATTTTTAAAGTATGGATTTTAGGAGGCATTATAATAAAATGTAAAGGTTAGGTGGAAGAGGAAGTTTATTATTTTAACTTTAATGTTAATAATATCTACACTGTCACCTGCACATTCAATTCACCATGGTTCAGATACCTTTTACACCAATTGGCCATAACTATTTATACCACAATAAAGTTATTTGTATTATTCTGAAAATGCCATCAACTTTCCTACTTTCTCTATGCTACTTTAATTACTATGCAATCAACTTAACCATGTGATAAATAAATCTATTAAAAAGTTGTTTAGAATGATTTGGTTAATAGAGATGTTCGAATTATTGAATTATTATGTATCTTTTAGATGAGAATGTTCATTTAAAAATATTCATATTCTCTAGCATCTTCACGCAACCACAAGGAATAAAGCAGAGTCTCATCTGCTGACTTATTCTGGTCCTTATGGGGCTTTACATTTTTATCCAAATACCTAAACCCAAATTAAAATCCTGTAGTTTTCAGTGCTTTTATCGACAATAATAATTCCCATGTACAATTTATATTCTCTGAAGATGTTTGTAGAACTGTGTCAAAAATAGAGAATTTTTCTAACATCAAAGGAAAAGGGTGGTGTTTCCAAAGAGTATAACTTTGAGAGTATGAATTCTGAAAATTTTAAAGCCTGGCTGGACTTGGAGATGCTCAGCTGCAGGAGCTCATAGTAACAGGAGCTAGTCCCTGGAAACCAGGCCTGTTGTGGCTACTGTGCAACAGGCACTCTGAGCCACAGCAGCATGGAATGTGGGATTGAATACTAAGGAAAGGAAGCAGAAAACACCATCTTCTATTAGACTTTCTCTTTCAGCGTTTAGCAGAACCACTGGCTTCATGCGATGTTTGGACCAAAATTAACTTTCTTTCACGTTTTTCCAGAGAAGATGTATTATTCTATAGAACCACTTTACAAGGCAAAATTTGTAAGATATGCGTTATCATAATTCAGACGCACTTTAAAAGTTTCGAGAAACAGAGCTTGCTGCACACTATGCATGAGAACCAAGTTTTGTTTTTACATAAAAAACTATTCACCAGGCGGTGGTGGCGCACGCCTTTAATCCCAGCACTCGGGAGGCAGAGGCAGGCGGATCTCTGTGAGTTCGAGGCCGGGCTGGACTGATAGCCTCCAAAACAATACAGAGAAACCCTGTCTCGTAAAAACCAAAAAAACAAAAACAAAAACAAAAAAACTATTCAACTTTTAGTACTTAATATAAATATAGAAAAGTTTAGAAGTACAAAGACATGAGGTTGAGTATTGTCTTACTTAGGGTTTCCATTGTTGTGAAGGTACACCTTAATCACAACAACTCTTTTTTCTTCATGTATTTATTTTACATTATGGACACAATATCCCCTTTATCCTCCCCTCCCAGTCCCTCTTCCTCATCCTGTTCCCCTATCCCACAATTTCCTCCTCTTCAATCCCCATCCAGGAAAGGGCAAGTCTCCTATGATTATCAATAAAACATGGCATATCAAGTTGCAGTAAGACTTAAGCACATGTCCATGTATTAAGACTGGGCAAGGTGACCCAGTATGAGAAGTAGGATCCCAAAAGCCAGGAAAAGAGTTGGAGATAGCCCCTGTTTCCGCTGTTAAGGGGACTAAGCTACACAACTGTAACACATATGCACAGTGCCTAGGTCTGTGAGCCCCTGTGAGCCCAGGTTAATTGATTGTATGAGCCTTTCTGTGGTGTCCTTGACGCCTCTGGCACAAAAGGACCCACTTCCTCCATCCTTCCTTTCTCAGATGTTTGAACACTGTAGAGAACATGGAACTTTCTGCAACTATCAGAATTTTGAGGTTTTAAATTTAGCTTTACTGCAGTGGAAAAAAATGGTTGAAATGATAGCTGCCTTGAAAAGCTCTTTCCCTAGGTTTCTAGATGACATGCCATACATGACATGTTCTCACCTTCCTTCCCATTAGATCCAAACCCTCTGGCACACTCTATAGATGGTTGCTGGCTTCCAACTGAGATTTTTCCGTGTGATTTGTAAGTTGCTCATTCTGGGGACAAATGGTAGACATCTGAGCACTGAATGCAAAGTGGAAAAGTTGCTAAATTTAGTGTTTAGTTCTTTTTTCATTTTTATCTTTATACTTATAAGATATTTTAGGGACTTTGGGGGAAAGTGGGCATTTTGTGATTATTTTAGTTTCTACTACCTCAAAATGATATATTTAATAAAATGAAATTTCTACAGTAGAAATTATTGGGTCTAAGTTTTGCAGCCTGATTTGATAAGAAAATCAAGACTAGACCCCAGTTCTGGTATTCAAGGAAATTTCAAACCATCGCTCTTTTAATTCATGCACTTGCTCAATAGAAACTAAAAATTAAAATCAGCCATTGTTTTGTATATACCTCTGGTGCCAGAATTTGGGAGATGGAAATAGGAGGATCAAGAATCCAAAGTTATTCTCAGAAAATAGGGACCTTGAGACCAGCCTGGGATACACGAGACCCATCTTATAAATAAATCAGTAATAATAAATGAGAGTAGATTTTTAAGTACACAAAAGAGAAAAGCTCATAAATAAATCAGTGATAATAGATTTTTAAGCATGTAGAAGGCAAAAGCAAATGCATGGTGGCTTCTGTACGTATGAACCATCTCTTTCTACCATGGTGGAAAGCAGCTAGATATGAATTCCCTCTTACAAATCTTCACAATGGGACTGAAATGAAATCATTTCCTCAGACGTTTCTGTGAAGTGAAGAACTAGAAGTAGGCATAATACAGATACTCACATGAGAAAGTAGGAACCAGCTAGACAAAGTGCAGTATCAGAAAGGGTCTCCTAACAGAAAGGAAGATTGAGAAATACAGAAATTCAACGTCCTTGGAGGCAGACAAATGAGCAGCAGATACCAGTAGTCCTGGACCTGTTGTTTCTGATTTTGTGTTGAACTGGACTTGTTAACATGAGCAGAATATACGGACATGTTGCTCTCATTTAAGTCTTATCTGCAAGACAAACACCCTGCACCAGAGAATTTGGCCACCTGAAGCTTTCAACATCCATAAGTGTACTTGGCCAGAGTGAGTCAGTGTCCAGGCATAAAGATGACTCTACTCCCAACACAGGAAGAGCAACTTTGGCATCATTACAAGGAGGTATTAATAAAACTTAATGTATGCGTAGGGTTAGTGTGTGAGAACATTGTATTCTTGCACTTTGAAATGCACAAAACAGATTTGAGTGACGCATAGTCATCCCTCCATTTTTTCCTTTAATATTGAATTTGCCTGTACACCAAGGTTTCAATTTTCCAGTGTCAGGTTTTGCTTGTTATTCTCTAGAACACAGATTTGCACAATAACTATGAAGTAGTTCTTAAAGTGTTTTTTTAAAAATGGCTCCTCAATGAAAAGAAAATGTCAGGAAAACTTCCTGACAACATCTTAGTGCATAGGACTGTGACTTCTATAGATGACAAGCTTTTGGCCTTTACAATCAGACATGTGCTTGAGCTCTTTGTACAGCCTCAGAGCATCATCAAAGGTCAAGTAGCAAGTTTTATGGCAGTGTTTGCAGATGCAGTTCTTCATACATCTTCCTAAATGAAAGCATGCAGGGTAGGGGCGGTCTGGGCCCTTCAGTTCAGACTGCTCAGGATCACAGTTCTTAAGTAGCTCTTATAAGTATGGAGAAAGTAGAAAAGCCTAACTATTCTGCAATAGATCCCTGCCCCTTATGGTTCCAGAACACTCTTACCTGATAGAATAAAGACAAATTAGGGAGAAACTGGAAAAGTGAAGGTTGAATAAGTCTCTTTATATGGGCAATAATTAAGAAGACAGAGAATATCTTCTATCACATATATACATACAAATTAAAGCTTTGGAGAGATACATAGTAAAGTGCACATTAATATAAGATGCTCAGTTGTTAAAGGCTAGGCTCACAATCAAAAATATAAGATGACTTTACCCTTTATGCAGTGGTTCTCAACCTTCCTAATACTCTGTCCCTTTAATACAGATCCTCACGATGTGGTGACCACACAATAAAGTTATTTTCAAGGCTACTTTATAACTGTGATTCCATGAACGTTGTGAAACATAATGTAAATATCTGTGTTTTCTGATTGTCTTAAGAGACCCCTGTGAAAGGGACATTCCACCTCCAAAGGGGTTGTGACCCACAGGTTGAAAACAGCTGCCTTAAAACTTACCATATTATGAAAATGTAATACACTCCTCAGTGTAGCATTCTCTGCAATGATGTGTTAATCCAGTTTTATGCTGATAATAATCATTTACTTATGATATCATAGATGAGTATTGTTTTTTCTGCAAACATGAAAATCTACTTCACTATCTACTTCACTGGAATGTATGAGAAGCCATCCATCCACCACTGCAGATGGGATAAACTTCTTGTGTCTCAAGATAATATCAGCCAAAATGGAACTAGATTTATGCTTTCATTTTAAGAAAGGGAAGATAAAATAGTTGAGTAATTATAAAACAATATAGAGAATATTAATTATTCTGTTTCGAATTATGCTGTTCATTAATTTAGTATAAGAAAACTGAAGTTCATATACTTTAAAGGTTTCTCCTCAGGCTCAAAATAGACCTCTAGCTATTAGTTTCAGAATGAACTAACAGACATCTAAGATTCCTTTGTTATACAGTGTCACATGCAGGTAAACACCTAAGTAGGAAGTCATCTCTCATATCTCCAGATGCCTGAGCCATCTGAGATGCAAGCAATCTCTTGATTAACATATTTTTTTTTGTTTTTTGAGACAACGTTTCTCTGTAGCTTTGGAGGCTGTCCTGGAACTAGCTCTTGTAGACCAGGCTGGTCTCGAACTCACAGAGATCTACCTGCCTCTGCCTCCGGAGTGTTGGGATTAAAGGCATGAGCCATCACTGCCTGGCTACTAACACATTTTTTTAATAAAAGAAGAGTAGACTAGCAAAACATTGAAATGTTGTTAGTTATTGCTTATCTTTTTTGAAATGTAGACTTTTTCATAATTGAACATCATTTCTTTTGCATGGACAAATCCCTCAATCTCTGGGAATATAAAATCTAGGAAGAGATGCACAAAGAATGGAGTTCACTTCCAAAAATTTTATGGCACCATTTCAATGTATGCTTTCATAGCACACAACTACTAGGATGAAACAGGGACATCATCAGCTCCAGCCCTCAGACTCCTGTCTTTCCAGATATTTACAGCTAGCATTTTCAAAAATTCAGAAAGGTGTTGTCACCATTCCCACTTTTTTTTCTTAATATTTAGGTTTTTTCTGAGACAGGGTTTCTATGTATAACAGTTCTGGCTGTACTAGAACTTGCTTTGTAGACCAGGCTGTCCTCAAACTCACAGAGATCTGCCGTCCTCTGCCTTCCAAGTGCTGGGAGTAAAAGCGTATGCCACTACTACCTGGCCATCTGCTTTTTTATCACTAGAATCTTTAATATAGAAACAAAATTTTGTAATAAAAATCCATAAGGGAACTTGGTGCCGGTACCCAGAGAACTAAGACAGTGTCTCTTTTCATTTGAAGCTACCTGGAAGACTCCAGGATGTAAAGAGAGCCGGCCTGGCATCGTCCCCCACAACCATTAGTTGCTTTATACTAAATAGTATAATAATGACAAGATTACATTGGCCAAAAAATTATCTTCATCTATCATTTAATTTTCTGTTTAATTTACTCACTTTAAAAGGTGTTTAAATTTGACTCATATTAGACATTAAAAATCATTGTAGTCTCCTTCTAAAGTGAAATGTTCACTGCAGTGTAACGTCACTCTTTGCAAACATATGTACCCCTCTGACTCCCTTCTGTCACTTCATTTTAGGGATGACACTGTAAATAAGGGTTAGGTGATTTGCCCGGAGTTCCCCAGGTGAGGTTAGAGCTGAAGTCTTCTGACTCCTCTCTCCAGTGCTCTTATGGGAAAATATTTACAAAAATAATGTATGTTTTAATATGAATACAGATCTTTAAATTCTCTCTTTGTCTCAGCTTTGTCAACACTGATAATACCAAGGCACATTAAAATATATCCTCATAGGACTCAAGTTTGCATAAATTTAAATTAGGTACAAAATATGATAAATTCTTACTTAGCTGAGGAAATTACACTGAGTTCGATAACAAATCAGCCAAAGAAAGACTTCACCGTGGTTAAAGCTGCTTCCCACTAAGACAGAAAATAACTGTCCAACAATCTCCAATAGCTGACTTGTTCAATTAAGAAAACGAAGAAGAGATTCTCAGTCTCTTCGACTATGGCGTGGTGGGTACCAGTTACCTCCCTGATCCAGAGCACTTCAGGTGAGAGGCTGCCTGATGATGCATTTCAGTCTCACAACTCTCTAGACCCCTTTTGAGCTGTAAGACTAGGAGAGTCAGTCTCAGGGGATAGGAACATATCTGGCCTGAAAAATTGAATAAGCCACCTCTTTAGTTTTAATCTATTATATTGTGAAATGGGAAGGTGTTTGTAAAGGTATTTCTCAGATAGAGATGCAGGTCTTACACACCTATGTGAATAGATATTGCATACTTTTGGTAACTCATGTGTAAGAAAACCCACAAAATCTATAAAAGGTAGAGTTACTGTGAAAATGCAAGCAGGATTTGTTTGAATATTATTGTGAACAAGTCTTATATTTTCATATGCAGATGTGATACAAAGAATTCCCCCCATATAATATGACTGTTCAACATATAAAACTGGAGAAGATGGTTTGAAAGGACATTATAGTAACTTCGGCAATGTCACCATTTACCCCTAAGGTGTAAATGCTGCACGGTCACTCTAATTTTTCAACACAGGCAATGTATCTACAGTTGCTTTCTTTCTTGGATTCCTATATTATTCTAAACACAAAGATTTTAGTTCAAAACAGTGACAACTATGGATGAAATAGGTGTTTTATTAGATAAAATGTATATTTTTTCATTTTAAACATGGTTTACTTTTTTTGTATTTGTTTCAGAAAAAGAGTAGTATATGATTTTATAATATTTAGGAGGGAAAGAGATTGTCAGGATAGACATTTTAGTGTATTTACTAATGATAAAGAAGAACATTGTGTTGCAACTGGAAACTTTTATTACATAGTGTTTATATCATGAAATTTGAAGGTCATTAAAGTTAATGGGGTGAGTCCAATGCAAACCAGATGGAGTGACAGATGGAAGCGAGATTTGCTGATGTAACACAGAATTTGCCATAATATTTTCCCCCTGAACATCTTCAAAATGATCATTAGGGTACTGTAGACAATGTCCCTCATTTTGCTGTCTCTTAACATACTGGGACAAACTGAGGTTCCAACATGCATCCAACTGCTCACCTGATGTCATTTTACTTGATGAAGTTTTTTAATAAGTTACCCAAAGTTAAATAACAATAGCACATGATCTTGTATGGGTTCAGGCTCATTCTTGGTCTCTACTCTCCTTCATGTCTCACGGAATTCAATCAATTGTCTGGTATTTGATTTTATATGGGAGCCAGTCACCCACCATCTCTGAAATTATGCCAAAGGGTAACTGTAAACTGACTTTAAGATCAGTTAACTAGGAAATACCCTCAACAGAGATAAGATAATTCAAATATTTCAGAGACTATATAATGAAAAGTAAATATTTAGTAATAGCTGTCATATACAAGCACATGTAAATGAATTCATTCTCAGACTTGATCCCAGAAACCATTTGGAGTTAATGTTATATTTCTTTCAGACACGTGACTCTATGGAAACACATGTCATGTAGCTGATGAATGACTAAGTGCTACTGGGGCCATTATTATTGAATATCCAGACACACGCTTCTGTCACTATGTTGTCCATCTCTCTAAAGACACCAGGAGTCCTAATCAATCACAGGTGCTCTAAGGAGCTCACATGAACTGAAGCCTAAGCTTTGTTGATAGATGAAAGCAAAAGAAAACAAAAATCCCACCTGATTTCTTGTTTCAGATGCGACTTCCCTCTTCTAATCTAATATCCCCTCAGCGTGTTATTTTTAGTTTTTACAATCATTTTTATAGGATCAGTTTAAGTGCAACTCCATACCCAGTGTTGTGCATAGCACAATAATTTATAAATCAGGACACCTCCTTCTCCTTGGGAACTCTTGATATCCCTTACCCTATCACTCCTGCTGATCATTTGCCCAAGGAATGCCATCCCATGAAATTCCCTGCTGCAAGCCAGCCTGAAGTTTATTAGAGTACGCTGACAAGACAGACTAATTGAGCAGGGGACTCTGTATTTCCCCTCTTAAATAGCTTTGTTCATTCCCTTTGGCTTAATATTTAAAATGGGTTTCAGTTGGATTCTGTGGAAGCCCCATCATATCAGACAGTTGGTAGTGTCATGTGAGACCTGAGGAAGGTGTTGGCCAGAACCGAACTTGACTTTAATACAAGACCATGTTCTATTATTGTTTAACTTTGGGTATTTCTCCCCTAGGAGGAGGACAGAGGAGAACTAACCAGCTCCAGGACCAAGGTAAGAGGGGAGTTTTCTTTCAAAAGAATGGGTTCCATCCATTTGAAGGAAACCCCTCCCCCACCTATTTGTTAATCCCTTTTTCTTTATACATTTATATTTTTAACCCACCAGCATTAGGAAACCAGCTTGCTACCTATGCATAGTAGTTATTTCAATATCCACTTACAAATTTTATATCAGGATAAAAGGGAACCTTCACACACGCCATAGTAGCTGTATGCCACTCCATTCATTTTTTTCCATTTTCATTAAATATCAGTACCAATCGTCCATTGAGATTTAAATTTTCTAGCTATTCATTTCTCTGTATATAGAATATTCATAGTTATTATCAATCAAACCACAACAGGTAAGAAAGTACAAAAAATTAAACTAAACTCTAAAATGTTTCTCACAAAACACAGTTATCAACTAACTTTTAACAAAAGATGTTGCTGTTATAAATTTAATGATATCTATTTTTGAAATAAAGTCAAGCTACACTTTCAAGCTGAAGTAATATAGACTTGGTAAAAAATAGTAATTTAGACATAGCTAGAAGAATAATAGGAAAGGAAAATATTTTCTTGAGGACTATTTGCAACTGCTGATACACCCTTCGTCACTGGCCTCTTGATGTTGACTTTAGTAATTTCCATATGTTCACCTTCCTCATTATTGTCTTGTAAGTCATGAATATTTCCTGTCTTTGGTGTCTTTTTCACATTGGTTTTCCACAAAAGAGTTGCCACGGGCAGTTACAAAGTTGTTTACTGACCCTCACATATGTGCTGTGT